AAAAAAAAAGAGATAATGTGATATCATATTTAGTCATTCTAAGCTGATGTGGTAATGTTTTTTCCTTTGACTAGAAATTTCAGTTATTTTTAAGCACCAAAATAAAAGATACAGTGAACTATCTGGATACAATATGTTCAGGGTAGTGGTTGGGAGATCTCTGGAAAAGCCTCAGAATCATTCTCTAGAGAAAGCTAATGGGAAGATGGACTTGAGCAACTTGTTAAATGTCCTTCATCTGGGAAATATCTAAGCTATTTTTAATATGATATAATCCTGGTAATGCTTTTGTTGCCTATAATGCCTTTCTTGGAGAATCCTTGAAAGTCTTATGATTGCTGTTACAGTAATATCAGGCAGAGCAGTTGTTGTGTTTCAGAAATATGACAACGTATCCACAAGAACTTATCATTGTGACGAATACAAAAATATCGCTTGAACAGTGTTATTAATATCAAGTGATGATAACTGTACAATTTGATACAAAAAGTTTTTATATTATTTTTCTTTCTGACAATAAGCATTTAAGGAAACATAAGGACATGACGTTACGAACAGAACATCTCTCTCTCTCTCTCTCTCTCTCTCTCTCTCTCATCAAAATAAACATACCTTACATATATATTATCTAATCCATACAGTTTTTTCAACACTTAAATTATACAACTTTGATTCACATTGAAATACTGATAAACATTTGTTGTTATGTATTGTGACTGGTTTAGTGGAAATACCTCCAATCTTAAAGAAAATCTTAAAAGGTGCTTTCCTGTCTTGCAGGTGTTCTGGTCACATTTGCTACACAGGCATCCCAGCATGGATCTCATCAGGGATTCCAATTTCTCCTTACATTTATGCATATATACTTAATCTGATATTAAGACATATAATTTGATATTTTATCCAGGGGCGCAATTTATTTTACATGCAGGTGAGACTTAAAAACCTGCCTCACAGTTTGAGTTGACAGGCTATGTGGAGAATGAGGGCTCTGACTTAAATATAGCTGCACATATCACATTGATTGAATATGGCTTTGGCGTATGCCTCGCTCCATTCTTTAAGGGGTAGGCTATTTCGTACCCTTTTTGTAACAGCAGGCTTCACTTAACACGGGCTTATCTGAATTTTTTCAGGGTGCATAAAAAAGATAGGGCACGACCTAACCTTTTGAAGATTTAATTAGATACGATGACTTGTAAAAACAGAGATATGCATGCATCTTTTTTTGACATAGCTAATGTTATATTGTTTCTATCTTTACAGACATTAAAGCTAAGTGGAAGAGAAGCAGAGATGATAGATGCGAGATCTCGGAAAGTTCAATGCACAAGAGATGTGAAGGTCCCACAGTGGTCTGCCTGAACAGAGAGGGAGAACTTCTAAAATGGTTTAAAGATTGCACTGGAATGGACAGCATTGGAGAGAGGCCTTCCTGAGATTTCTTATTTTAAAATCTACAATGATTCTGATGATCTCTAGATTAGAGTAGCAGAAAAGGAGAATATATTCAGATATCAAGGCAGGGATTTGTGGAGACTTGATGACAGCTGTGATAAAGAGGGATTTATAAAAAGTTCCATTACTTGTTCTTAAGGGTCAAGAAACATTAGTCCAACAAAAAAGAAGAGGACATCAAATTCAGAAAGTATTATCTAGCTGCAGATTGGTTTTTAAGTTCACAAAAAGTGAATGGATCTCATTCTAAGGATATTTCAAGGGCACTGTTCATATTCTACTAGGATTTAATTCTGTACTTTTGTGGATTCTTTCTATGGACCATCAAAAGAAGAATAACTGTGATGAGAATTAATGAAATTATCAATAGGATTACCAGAAATGATTGCCAAAATGTTTTCTGGATGCCAAAGTACCATTGCAATAAGCAGCATGTTGGTGACACTGGCAGTGTTACTGTCACATGCTGTGACTGTCAGAAGCAGTACCATTGTCAGTTCATACCCAAGTGGCCAAACAACTGTTGAATTCAACAACATAGCAATAGATAATGCTACCGGAACAGTGTTCATAGGGGCAGTGAATGCACTGTATAGGCTGGATGGAGATTTACAACTGCTGCAGAATGCTACCACTGGACCTGTCACAGATAGTCCCTACTGTAGTCCCCCACCTTTGACTTCAACTTGTTCACAGGGAACTCCTACAGACAACTATAATAAAATTCTTGTTGTAGACCAGAGTAGGGGTAGGCTCATTAGCTGTGGAAGTGTGTATCAGGGGACATGTGAGAGTCGTCCAGTTACAGATATTTCACAGGTGACTGCACACAGAGGGATTGGTCTTGCACGCAGTCCTCTTGAGAATTATGTAGCAGCTAACTCACGTAATGCATCCACAGTTGCCTTTGTAGCCCCAGGACCAATTTCACAAAATTCTCAAGATGTGCTGTATGTGGCATCAACATACACTGGACAAGGAGAGAGTGGGAGATTGAGAGATCTAGTTGCTGCAGTAAGCAGTAGGTCTTTACAGACACTGGAACTGACAAATTATAATGCTCTGATTGGTGCAGGAACATACATTACCCTGTCTGATACTGCACGAAGCACATATCCAGTGAACTACACTTCAGGATTTTCGCTTAATGGATATAGCTACTTTGTGACAAATCAAAAGACAACAACCAGCAGTACAGAGGAGGAAACAAGAATAATCCGAGTATGTCAGAATGATATTAAATATGATTCCTATTTTGAAATGCCTTTACGCTGTGAAGGAACTAATTCTGATTATTATTATAATCTAGCCAAGTCAATATCAGTGACAAAATTAGGCAGTGATAACATATTAGTAGGAACATTTGTGAAGGGATCAGCTACAGCGTTGTGTGTGTTTTCTATGGAAAGTATAAATGCTGTGATAAAAGACAGGTATGAGCAGTGTTATGCTGGAAATGGAAACACAGAGGCTGCACAGTTTCCAAGAGGACCACACAGATGTCAATCTCTTCCAGTAAGTAATTTCACAGTAATTGTACCACCAGCTTGTTTGCTGGCAGTTATGCATGGTCTTAGTCTTACCTGGTATCATCCTCCGGCTCTGCTACCACGTCACCGTTACTGCTTTTCCTCCTAAACTACAAGAGCTCCTGTACCCATCTCTTGTATGTAGGTCACATATAATCTCAACTTGATCCATGTGAACTCTAGGGTCTGTCGGCGCTTGAGTCTAGGTGTGGTGCTCATCACAATGCACCCTTGTCCAAAATTGGCAAAATTTAATGCTAAATATCTCCCAAACCGAAGGAATTATGGGAAAATTTCTATAGATGGCTGACCAAAAGTCATGTGGAGATTGCAAGTATACCCGGAGGCGGTATTGTCTCTCTGATCCTGTAGTTTTGTCATGTAATATTGTTTTTTGGTAGTTCGCCTATAAAACTTCACATCATGCTTGTTCTAATGTATATTGAAGGAATTTGTAAAATATGAAAAATGGTAATTTTGCTTCAATGTTATTGAGAAGTTTCATTGTCTTAATATTATTGCCCTTATGTGAATAGCTATTTTTATCATCATTTTAGAGTTACAACTATGGTTCTTATTACTGCAATCATGACTATGGAAGTGTGAACACACCACTTGTGTCAACCACCCCAGCTACATCAACCCCTGCTCTGACATCAACTTCATCAACATGGATAGCTATAGCAACTACCACGACAACTAATTACACTGTGGCTTTTGTGGGAACTGCTGATGGACAGCTTAAAAAGGTACTGCCAGTTTGTTTTATTTTTAGAAGATTTTTATGTGATTGTTTTACATTTGAATTATAATAATTTGTCTCTAAATTGGGTTTGTAGCATTTCTTTATTGCCTGATTCTGTTGTTTTTCAAAGTCGATATAATTATCTGCCCAGTATTTATACCCACAAAGTTTGTCTTGCTAAAATAAACTTATTAAGGTAGATCGGTCGTTACATGTTCCAACGTTCGAATTTTTTTAGAATTTTTTTTGTTTGAAGAGACACCCAAGTACATTAAAAATTTGCAAAAAAATTGGGGGTCACAGTCCAAATAAGAGAACTCAGCCCAAAAATGTTACACCCTGCATATCGCACTAGTCCCCATTCAAATCAATGTGAAAATGGGTGTTTTTTCCCTAAAGCATTATTTTTTATGACTTTCTAACATTCGAATTTCAAAAAAAATTTGTGTAAAGAGGCATCCAAGTACATTTAAATTTTGCCAAAAAAAATTGGGGGTCACCGACCAAATAAGACCGCATTCACAACGATTTGAGACAGGCTTCACAAATCCTGGGACTAAATATGGCGGACGTACATGAAAGGAAAACTGCCTCATCTTTCAGTAGTTTCTCCGCCTCTCACACACCTCTCCACAAGTCGTCCCTGCGGGGTACAGTCATTAAATCTCGGCTCTGTTTGCCATGCGGAAACTACCTGAGAAATATTAAGTGCGCATGCTCATCAATTAAACTCAAGGTGAAGAAAGCATAGGCCATAGAGGAGATCGAAGGAAAAAAGCTCCTATGTCCTATTATCTTTCAAAAAGGAGACGAAAAAGAAATGAATTGGCCCGTAGATCAGCAATGAATCGGCTATCTACGGAGATAATGTCACCAGAGATATTCACGGAGATACCCAGCCCCAGTAGACGGAGGAGGAGAAGGGCAGAATTTTTGCGTATGCAGTCTCATCAGAGGGCACAGTTCGTTCTAGTGCTGATGTTTGCCTTGTTCCCTACGCCTGATCGAATTGGAAAGGGAGGGGGGTGTTTTCACGATTTTGATCCCGATTCATAGCTGCTATACAGGCCGATTCATTTCTCAGGTAGCTTCTACATGGCGAACGGAGCCCAGATTTAATGACTGTACCCGGCAGGGATGACGTGTGGGGAGGCGTGTAAGAGGCGGAGAGACTATTAAAAGATTAGGCGGTTTTCCTTTCATGTACGTCCGTCATATTTAGTCCCAGGATTTGTAAAGCCTGGCTCAAATCGTTGTGAATGCGGTCTAAGAGAACTATGCCAAGTTGAAGTGCATTACACCCTGCGTAGTCCCCATTCAAATCAATGGGAAAATGGGTCTTTTTTCACGAAAACCTTCTTTTTATGATTTTCTAACGTTTGAATTTTAAAAAAATTTGTGTAAAAGTCATTCAAGTACATTTAAATTTAGCCAAAAAAATTGGGGGTCATTGACCAAATAAGAGAACTACGCCAAGTTGAAGTGCATCACACCCTGCGTAACGCACTGGTCTGAAGTCCCCATTCAAATCAATGGGAAAATGGGTGTTTTTTTACTAAATCGTTATTTTTTATGGTTTTCTTTCGTTCGAAATTTTAATTTTTAATTTTGTTTGGCATGGAGAGACATCTAAGTACATTCATTATGTTTAACAGTTGAAGTGAGTATACCAGCTATTTTCAGATTTGTCATACTGATATGAAGGTGTAAGCCATTAACTTTACAACAGAATTATTGAAGAGAGTAATAAGGGAAATACGTCATGCACATGAAAATAGTTTATTGCCGTTGTTATTTATTTATGTAATAAATATAACATGAATGTGACATCATAAGCAGTGTGTTGTTAAGTAAAATGAAGCGTCTGATACAAAGTATCAAATGTGGCATTCACGTGCTTGCTTGCGGTGCGTTCAGTACACTTTGTTTAAACTGACAAGTCGAGGTCAAAAGTGCACAATTTTTTTCTGTATAATATTACGCAGTTTCAATTTTGATAAGTGAATTTTCTTCAAGCTGTATGGTCATTTTCTGAACATTTGTATAAGCTACGAAATATTTCTCAGCGGAAAAACACCCAGCAGCTTTCCAAGTCCAAATTAGTGACGTCACGACGCACTTCTGGTTTTTGTTGAAATCTGAGCTTACGGTTTGCAGCACATTCAGAGAGTTTTATCTCAAAATATACGCAGCCGCTTTGATTGGAATTTACGGTAATATGCCAAACAATTCGACCAAGATTAATTAATTAATTTCATGGAAATGTCAGTTTGGTCGACTTGATTAAAATATAGCAATGGAAAACTTTGATATCGTCTGATTGTTAGGGGCATCTGCCAAAGTGTCCATCTTACCAGAAGTATTGCATTTTACCGGAAGTGTCACGCAAGATAAGGACAACAATTGACAAAGGGCCGAGGCATGCAGCATCTATTTCACTGGCTTGAAAATTAACTGAGTCTTGCCGACGATGTGGTCGAACAATCGTAACAAGAAAAAAATTCTGTTGCATGATTTTGACGTATGGACTAAATGTTTGAGCCCAGAAAAATTAATTTTATAAGATAATTTTTTTGGTCGGATTGACTGGGCCTGTCGAAATGCTTGGCACATTACTGTATAGCACTTATTCTTTACATGATATAGCACCTATGTGCATAATTCGTGAGCTTTAGCTGTCATACTTTGTCTACAGTGCCCATTCCAATTTGAAAAGGAGCTATTTTCCAATGATTTCTTGAAGGGGAAGTCTATGACCCCATTCCCATAGATTTTAGATTGATCTTTCCCTGTGGGGAGTCTCACTAGATTACTGTCAGCTTAGCCAGCTTAAGTGTCTGTCTCGCCTACTAAAAGCTGTAAAGGGGTAATTAACTATGGTGCGCCCTCGGCTGACTGCAATTTAGCATGAACCCCCAGGGAGTTAGGTCGATCTAAATCTAAATCCCTGGAGCGACCTAAATCTCTGGGAATGCACCCTATGAACGTTCTACAGTTGTCGTATGGAATCATAGTTGACAAATGTTGTCGAAAATCTGTATTGATCGTACAGAGTTAAAGACAAGTTGATAATGTTTGTTTATCTTATAGATAATTGTTTTATTTCCTTAAATTGATAAAACACACTGAAATGTCGTTAGAAACGATTGACGGTGCGCTGAAATTGCACAAATCGTCAAATTACGTAACGACCGATCTACCTTAAAATGAGGAAAAAAGGACAAATACCTTTCGTTATTTGTATATGTGTTTGGTGGACTTTATTGTAGAATTTGTAGAATTTTTAAATTGCAACCAAAAAAAAATGCTAGTGTGATTACACATTTCTACCTTTTATACCTTAAATCATTTGTGTGTGTTTCCAGATTCTAGTGCAGTCTAACACATCGGCAGTAGAGTATACCTCAGTTCAGGTGTCTAGTGATCAGGTAAAGGACATCAAGTTAGACAGCGTAGAGGAACACTTGTATGTCATGACTAAATATAAGGTAAGCAGCATTTGAGAGTGAACAGTTGACATTTTAAATACACTTACAGTGGTATGCAATAATGAATCTAATTTTATTGAAGGTATATTATTATAATGTAGTTATATCTGTCAGTGTTGTGAGCGACCACTGGCTCTCTGGCAGAATTACAAAGGCTTTCCACATGGACCAGTGGATTTCCACCTGGTAGTAGAAAATGAATATATTTGTATCTTACATCACAGAATATTAAATAAGTTCAGTGACATTTATTTGCTGATTATCTCTGGTATAGAACAAGAAGAAAGCAATCTGTTTTCTCCACTGTTTCCAGGTGAGTAAGTTGAAGGTAGAGGACTGTGGCAGCTACAGTACATGTGATGAATGCCTGGCCTCCAGGGATCCCTACTGTGGATGGTGTAGTCTGGAGAACAAGTAAGACCCCATTCCCAGAGATTAGATCGATCCAACTAGATCGACCTAACTCCCTGGGGGTTCACGCTAAATAGCTGTCAGCCGAGCGGGCACGAAAGTTAATTACCCCCTTACAGCTTGTAGTAGGCGGGACGAACATTTAAGCCGGATTATCTGACAGTAATCTAGTGAGATAACCCACGGGGATAGATCGATCTAAAATCTATGGGAATGCACCCTAAGACTATGTTCCCATAAAGCCATTATACAGCATTAAAGCCGCTTACACTGAATGCAATTTACGGAGAACCCCACAAAGTTAGATTGATCCATTTAATACAAGGAGCTTATGGGAACTCTCCTTGAGATTCTGAGTGATTTTGAATAATGCAGTCTTTAACCATGAATCTGTTGTTTAGATATGGTTTAAGAAAGAACATTTAATATCTGATATTTAATGTTTTTGATACACTTTTCATGGTTTGTTTAAATATTATCAGTATGTATTATTAATAAGTTTTAGCAGGAAGTTTTCACATGTACTATATAACTTTATGCTATTATATGGAATTTTAGTATTTCTAAAATAAAAGTATTAGTATGTCAGAAAAAAGTAAAATGTTTTATCCAAGTCTTTTTAGTAATACAGTTAAGTTGATTGCCAATAAGATTGCAAATAAGAAATATTCTCTATCACTTTAACATTTTAACATTCCAGATGTAGCAGAAAGAGTTGGTGCAGTGATGCAGATGGTACAGCAAGATGGCTGCCATTTGATAATGGACAGTGTACCAAGATCAACACCATCTCACCCTTCAATACACCTCTAGCCAGACCAACACAGGTTAATAATAATAATTATTATTATAATTTTAATAATAATGTTGTAAATACAATGCTAAAATAGATAGATTTTATAATAGATTATAAATAAATGAAAATTTACTGTCATAAATTTGTTGAATTTAGCTATGATTTTGATCTAAAAATATGCACTACATAAAATGATGTGATGCAAGTCCATGAGAAGCTGACCATTTTACAGAAATTTGATATAATAATATATAATAGGACTGTACAATAATCTCTAAATGATAAACTTTATTATAGGTGAACCTTTCTGTAAGCCTCCTACCCCCAGGTCAGACCTACCAGTGTGTGTTTGATACCACAGCTGTCAGTGCCACAGTCACTGGGGGGAACTTGGTGACTTGTGACACACCCACCAGCTTACCTACTATACCAACTGGGGATGGTAAGGAGGACTGCCACTGATGTTTTTTTTTTTTTTTTTTTTTTTTTTGTCAAAAAGTCGTTTTAAGCTTTAATTTTCAGCCATTTTGGGCAACTTTAAACTATGTCATTTGAGCAATTTAATAAGTCACACTGATGTCAATCACATCTTCAAGCTCTGTTAATACTCATGTTCCAGACAATTTCAGCTAACTCTTGAAGCACTATTTATATTGGTATTCCAGATCACATCACCATACCCCTGTCCATCAAGTCAGTGACTACAGGAAAGAAGTTTTTGACCACTAACTTCACATACTTTGACTGCGGGGCACATTCTGGGTATGTACAAATGTCACAAATTGTAACATTGCTAATCACCTTAATAGTACATCATAAAGTAGTTAATGTGCACAACTGGTAATCAAGCTTGGTGATTTATTCAGAAAATTATCAAAAAACTGTCGTCAAATTAATGACTAAATATGGTCATTGCTTAGTAAATAAACTTGTTATTTGTTGCTTTTCTGGACATTTGCTGTTATTATCTCTACTTAATCCATTAAATTTAGAAGAATATATTGCAGGGGATTTCTTTGAGAAACTGTTTTGTAAAACGTCTGTATGTCTTCCTAAGGTGTGTATCCTGTACCAGCAGTAGTTGGGCCTGTGACTGGTGTATATATGCTAACACATGTACCCACACCAGCAGTACATGTAGTCCTAGTGGAGGGGTGATACCGGGACAGAATGTAAGTCACCACATGAGATTTTCTCATGTTATGTTCATATCTTAATGGCATGGTTTTTGCAGAGTGATGCAAAGACAGGTCAAAATGTGAATACAATGAAAGGAAATTGTAGATTTATAAATATTTTAAGTTGTATGTGTACAGCAATGTATGATTTGGCACTTCAGATGTAAGGAAAATGTGTTTTGTTTTCTTTGAGGTACACTAGTTAGCATCCATCATATAAGACTAATGTATGATTGGTTTAAAATATTTGTAATGTTGAAAAACCTGTATTTAATGAGGGAATATAAAGAAAGAAACAAGCCATCTAAATAAATTTTGTGGAAAAAATGTCAACTGGACTTCAGACTACTTTTGTCTTTCTGCATTCCTTATAGTTATAAAAAAATCACGAGACTTCATATTGCCTCTGTTCTACGTACTTATCAAGTAATATTCACATTATTTCAGAGCCATGTCAATGTAGGTATCAAAGGTCCCACCCAGTGTCCCCAGCTCCTGCCACGTGCACAGGACGTCCTGTTACCTGCTGGGGTCACCAAGGTGATCTCACTGAGTGGGAAGAACCTACCTGTGCCACAGGTGTGTACTTCAGTTTGTACTGTGTATAAGAATAGGTTTACTTGTATGAGCTTAGTTTTTTGTTAAAGATTTATTGATAAAGAAATGTTAAGTCAAATTTTTTACATCTTTAATTGTATTTGCCTTTGCATATTTTAATTCAGGGCTTAAAGTACAAAAATGTATTCTTAGTTTTATAACAGTGTTAACACAATTGTTTATTTTGGCATTTATTTTAACCCGTCTGCCAAGCAAGATTGGCTTCTACTGAAAAGGCTCTTATGAAAACCTTACATGTTGATTCAAAAAATAATTGTTGAAAAAAAATATGTGTTAAAGATCCATGTTGTTGTCCGATTCCAGGCTGGCCAAGGTGATTATCAATGTAAGATAGGCACTAACACAGTCCCAGCTATCAGACAGAATGATAGTGCCATAGACTGCCAGAGCCACGCTGTGAGTATAGACATGACACTAACCATCTCAGTAGAGCAGGGATGAGAACTGTTTGACTGTTGGCTGATTTCTGAGTTTCAGCCCTGATCAACAGATGTGTCTTTTTTTTCTAAGAGAGTGAGCATAGTTCAGACAAGGGTCAGTTTACAGAAGAAATTGGCCTCGCTTGTGTCATTAGGCCTCTAGATCACTGAGAGACCCCAGTCACTCTATGGAAATTACCTGGTCATATGTTGACTCAAGTTAGCCCAAAATGTGGTCTAACATAGTCCTATTGTAAACAGAGCTATGGTGATTGGGATTTACCTTGCTCTAATTATATCAAAAGAAGTGATATTTTCTTAATAAATAGGCAAAATAGGAAATAATGATGAATTTTTTGTGTAATATCTGAGCTCTGTTTGTTGATTTTATTTGTTAAGGTTAAATTGGGTGTTTGTCTGTATTTAATGGGTTTTCCATTCATTCCAGTATGTGTACAGGGCTATCACAGGCCAGGAGAGACATGAAATACAAGTAATCTGGAATAATAACCATGTGATAGATCAGCCCATGGGCTCTGAAGTCAGTGGTATGTATTGGGAACCAAACTGGTTATCTACCTGTTTTCTCTCAAATGTTGTTCCTAAGTATTTGTAAAGGTTTTAATGTGTAAATACGTAAAAAGATGTCCTAGGTAAACCTTGTGAAAAAGATGAATATGACATGTAGTTCAGAAGATGAGTTTTGTGTTTTTTTTAATTGCCGTAAGCATTGCTTTTATTGTTTCCTATGGCAGCAACTGTGTACCTCAAATGTGTATAGCATAACTGGGTAGTTTTTGTGATACATGTTTTGTTAAATATTGTATACTATTACACAATGATGTCTCTGTTGTTTCAGCAATCTTGTACAAGTGTGACATCATGGGCACCACATGTGGCACATGTATTGGTGGTGTGAATACTAAGTTTGGCTGTGCTTTCTGTGGAGGGACGTGCAAGTATCGCCCAACATGTAGTGTACCAGCTGAGAACACTTGTCCTGATGTTATCATCAACTGGGTTAGTTTAGTTATATACAAATGCCCTCATGATTCTGCATTATGTTTTCGCTTAAAGAGAAAAACATTTATTAGTGATCATCTTAGTCTATAATGTTACATACAAAATGCTTGCGGTAAGCCACATCAAGTACTGCTATATGATTGTCTTGAGTTCTTTTATTTGATGAAAGTGTTCAAAAGTTTCTGGGTTACATACACATGTTTATTGTATATGAAAAATAATTGTGGCACAATGAAAAAAGTTACTGAGGAATGTTTTCCTACAGTATGACATGTTTTAAAAAACTTAACAATTTTCTTCCAGGTTTCCCCCTTGAGTGCCCCAATTGAAGGTCACACCAAGGTCACCATCAATGGCACCAATTTAGGCACCTCTGATGCCAGTATACCCACTGTTAGACTGGCTGGGGTGGCCTGTAGACCTGTTGTAGAAGATTATGTGGTCTCAAAGAGGTAAGAAACTATAGGAAGTTCAGGTATTTTCACTCTTACAAGTAATGCCTCTAAACCAGTACAATTCATGTAGTGTTATTCTCCAAAACTTACTCCACTTTAAGTATGTAAAAAATATGTAACCATTGTATGCCAGTTTATTATAGGTTTCTGGGAAATTTTTGTCATATAGAGCTCAAAATTGTTACTGTAACAGTTTTTGTAAGATTTTTACATGACATTTCCTAAATCATATCGGAAATCCAATTTTTTCTTAACGTTTTTTGGACAAATGTAGCCACAGGAGATCAAAACCTACAGGGCAATTCCTTTTCTTTTTATCTTAATCCTAAATCGTGTCTGATTCCAGAATTGTGTGTACGGCAGCAGAAGCTCCAGGCAGGTTGCCCAGGAATGGTTCCATTGAGGTGCAGGTTCAGGGCTTAGGCAGGGTGTACAACTACTCCAAACAGTTCAGATATGTGGTGAGTTGGGTGTTTAACAAGACAGCTATATGTATGTCCATATCCTTGGTCTTAATGGAAACATGTGATGCCGAATGCTGGTGGAAGAATATTTCATTTTCCACATTAAATGAGTACATTTTGTTGATATTTTGCCTTTTCGTTATTGCTACAATCTGAGGAGATGGTCTTCAATTTTGAGTGTTAATTGTCTTTATTAGGACCCCAAGCTGGAGACAGTGTTCCCAGTGAAAGGCCCCATGTCTGGTGGCACCAGGCTGACTGTGAGAGGGAAAGATCTTAATGCTGGCAACCTGGATAATATCAGCCTAACCCTGGGAGAGGAAATGTTGCCATGTATTGTAGACAGGTTAGGATTCAACATACATTGTATGCATATGAGAATTGACAAGGAATATGAGAATTACTGTTTGGTTTCCATAATTGGCAATCTCTGCTTTCATATTCATTTCATTAATTTGGTAAATCTTTTGAAAAAGAATTATTGCTTTTGGTTAGACATGGTGACATAGGTATCATTTGCATGATATCCGTAAACGATGTGTGATTAATGTTATTTAAAGAAAGTTTTAGTGCCTAAATTGTCTTAATAACATAACAAACAATGAAAACCCAAACGATTTTGAAAAAAAAAAATCTATGAATAAAATATTTTGCAAAAAAGAGAAATTGCAAGACATACAGCCATGGAAATTCAGTTTGTTTTGATTGTCAAGAGGACAGTAGCATTGTTTAAAGAGAAACATTTTGTTACGTTTCCAGAAGCACCATTGGCAGCCATTCCACCATTTGTGCCACTCCAGGCGTTGATAGGCCAAAGGTCGTGACCTCTGTCAGGATGTTCTTTGACGGCAGTGTACGAATGCTGGACCAGAACCCCTTCAGGTACACCGAGGACCCTGTGGTGGAAAAAATTATGCCACTGGCCAGTTTTCTAAGGTAACCATTATATAATAATTATATATTGTAGATCAGAGTGACAGGAAAATCTTGGGTAAGAAAACTGAAAAGATCATGTATTCATTCACTAATGCCATTCCCAGCAGTGAATATTGTTAATCAAACAGTATATTTTTTGTGTGACATAAATTCATCATCATATTTAGGGATTTTATTTATACAATACATGGTATTATATTACATATTTTCATAAATCCTTGCCTTAAAAATGACAATATATTTAGGCAAACACATTTGAAATACTTCTGCATGTGGTAATGCAGTGTCATACATTTGTTTATTTCATTAATTTGAAGTCACAGCTTTGATGTGGATTGCTGTTTGATTTTAGTGGAGGCAGAAATCTGACTATCACAGGCAAAAATTTTGATTCCATTCAACAACCAAAGATGTTTGTGTGGTATGGCAAGGAAAAGTCAACACACAACACAACAGTGAGTGCACAACTACCTACCTACATACCTAGTTTAATACCTTGTATAATTATGAAATAATTATGAAATTAGATTTATGAATGTACATTGTAATAATGATAAACTCTTACTGAGAAAATAAAACCAGTAATTTTTTTAAGGAGTAAAAAATGATCAAAACTTTGAACTTTAAAGCATATTTTTACATGTAAAATAAGAATTTTAAGATGATTTTGGAATCATGCTTTTGTTTGAGCTTTAATATGTATACCAAAAACTAATAAAATGATAAAGTAAAAATGGTGAAAATACATCTCATAAAAAACAACTTTTTGTGTTTGCATGTGTCTCTAAAATATGACATCTCATCTTCCAGAACTGTAAGCACGTCCCTGAGATGAGAGACACCGTTATCACCTGTCCCTCTCCCAGAGCTCCCCTTGGTGTCATCGCAACGGCGCCCCCTACCGTGTCCAGTCTACGCTACAAGAGGCAAGCAGACGAGAACAACAGCGTCAAGATTGGACTTATAATGGATGGGGTGCTTTCAGTTCAAAATTTGACCAATATCACCAACACTATGCTGTATGTGGTGGACCCTGTGTTTTCCAATCTGACCAGTGATGGCTCTGTTTATATTCAGGAAGGCACCAACTTGGTGATTAATGTGAGTTGATGATAGTTTGTGTTTTAGGGGGGAAATGATTAAGTTAAAAAATGTGAGAAATAAGATGACCAAAATAATGTATTTTATGCAGCTTGATTTCTATCTTTTGAATCTATCATTTTAAAGATACAATTTGTATGTTTTACATCTATGCACAGAATTCATTCTGTAAAAAATCATACTTTTTATGCAAAAATTATATCTTTTAAGGCTTAATTTGTGTTTTATAACTGTAAACAGAAATATAAAAAATTAATTTTTTATCAAAGATTTTTATAACTACTTTTTTAGCCTCTCTTCTACAGTTCAAAATTGCAATTTTAGGGCCACTTCCTGAACCTGGCTGCTTCCAAGATGGATGTGACAGTTTTGATAGGGGGAGTGCCCTGTAATGTGACCTCCATATCTACCAATCAGCTGGTGTGTACTGTACCCAGCTCCCAGCCAGAGGGGAAGGACAAGAATCCACCTGTTGTCACGGTAAATATACCCCCCAATGTCCTCTAGTCTGAGAAAAAAAGATTTAATGGGCTGTTTGTACTTAGTGGAGGAGGAAGGTTATCATCATGGAGGTCTACAAAGGGGATGGAACACATTTCATGAGCAGTAACTCAAGCCAAGCCAAGCCAAATCTAGAAATAACATGCAACCCCATGTGAGATTGCAAATTGGAATTCCAATTTATAAGCGAATTATAGCTCATTCAGTTACGACAGAAAAGATCGTCTGCACACATACCCTAACATTTCTTCTAGAACAAAATTTTCATGGCCTTACAAAGAGTGAAATCACCAGGTAAACAAATCACTATGTTTTACTGTACTAAATATGTAGAGTTTCTTCTCCGCAGGTAAAGATGGGCAACCTGAACTTCCAAGTGGGTAGCTTGAAGTACAAGCAGGAGAGCGAGGGGGCGCTACCTCCCTGGGTGATAGGCCTCATTGTGGGGGTCGTTGTGGTTCTCCTCGTCATCATCATCGTCATTATCATCTACAACAGGAGACGGGCAATGAAAGCAAGGCAGGAGTACAAGAAGGTGCAAATGCAGCTGGATACACTGGAGAGTAATGTGAGGAATGAGTGCAAACAAGGTAAGACCAAGGTGGTACACAGTGATGATTCTCTCACCAAGTATGAATTGATGGGTACAGTTTTTTAGTATATTTTGGACATTTTTGAAAAGCAATACATTTAAAAGGAACTCAGGACAATTATACATTTATGTATTTTCCTTGTTTGGACTGATTTGCCATTGAAATTGAATAATACAGATTTTGGACTCTTTCATTTTGCAAAAAAAAAAAAAAAAAAAAAAAAATTATTCCAGAATACGAACAGATATGTGTTAATAATTGTGAGAGCAACATATTGTGAAACCTTCACTTTACTCATTGGAAGTTGTAACCGAGTTGTTTTGAAATAATAGATAAGTTAAAAGTTCATAAGTTAATTGTACAAATATTTTCAGATTATTTTCTTTATCAGTAATGTAAAGTTTAATTTTTATATTTTTATTAAATGAGAGTGAGCACTTCTTTTGCAACACTGCAATGTAGCTAATTTAGACCATTTCTGCAATTCAACTTTTAACAATTGATATTTGTTGTGAAGTCATTGCCTAGAATGTGCAAAAAGGGCGGGCAAGCCTTCAGCTTATTTTGAAAAGTGGATGCGTTTTTAAAATATTTCTAGAAATTTGGGTGGTGGGTATCTTCTATCAAAATGCAAATAATAGGTAGTTGCCTTAACAGTAGATCTAATATTATATGTAATATTTACATTTACACTGGGTAAAAGGAGTGAGGGATATTGTTTGGTTTGACATATTATTTTTAACGGGTAAAATAATTGCTGGTGTTGGTGGTGGTGTCAGTTTTTGTCTATGCCCTTTAAATTCTCCAAGGCTTGGGTTTTCACGTAATTGAATTAACATGTATGTGCTCTGAGGTTTAATGGAAGTTTTTATTTTGTAAGAAAGTATTTATTATGAATTATTTATGAAACAAAAATGTCATCAAGTTTGCCTCTGTCCCCAAAGCTTATAAATCCTTGCTTGACTATGAAACTTTACTTTTGCTTTTGTTTTTTGCACGAATGCATATTTTTTTAATCACAATATCTCTTGAATCATTTGGCTATTGTATTTTATCACATAAAATTGTTGTTTTGTTGATGTATACCCCCCCTTCCCCGCCGCGCATCATCTGATGGATTTTTTTGTGTGAAATTTTCTGTAGTCCAACTATAAAATTGATTTGATTTTGTTGATTATTTTCTCTTTATGTTGACTGCTTTAAGTCCAACTTGCGGAGTTTTCCATTTGTTTGTTACTCTGCATTTTTGTATCACAGTGATTAAGTTGAATTTGATTTTTGTTGTGTTTTTTCCTGCTTTTTTAAAGCCAAATTTTAGCTTTTTGCGAATTTGTTTTGCCTCACTGCTTCATACTAAGCTTGTACTGACCATAGCACTTTTTATCTGTATTTTCATTTTGTGTGTTCTGTGAGTCATGTCTGTCCATATACATACTTCAGTTTGGAATAATGATTATAACTCAAAAGAGCATCGAAAACTTCAGGATTTAACAGGAATGGCTATTTGTCAATCAAACCAGTTTTTTTATTTCATAAAATGCTTATGGCTCTTAATTGCATCATGAAGCCTTTTTTTTTCTAAAGTTAATTTGGCACAAGAGAAAACTATTCTAGCAAAATTTCAGAACATACTTGTTAAGTTTGGTGAAATAATGTTAATGAAAAGGGAAAATAAATTTGAAAAGAGAATGAAATTATAATAGAAAATAAAAAAAAATGAAACTAAAGGAATGAAGTATGATTGTGCAAATGTCACCGTGACCTGCCTCACAGAACCTCACCTATCTCCTTGCGGCGGCCTGATCCCATCCATTACCCTTTTGTTTACTGCCTGTTCTCACCAGCGTTCCTTTCTGCAGCCTTCGCGGAGCTGCAAACGGACATGTCTGACCTGACCAGTGACCTCATCGCCACGGGGATACCATATTGGGATTTCCATAGTTACGCATTCAAGGTGCTCTTCCCAAGACAGGCCTATCACCAGGTCTTGGATAGAATTGATGTAAGGGTCAAAGTTGTCTTTGAATATTTAGATAGCTACAGTGGATTAGTTTTTTAAGTAATATTATTATGAAGTAGAGAAATGTTCTTTTGAGTGATCATCTTAGAAGTTTTGTTTTTATGAAAAATAACAGGTATCAGCCATTAGCAGTACTTGTTTACATACTGTATCTGTTAAAATTTTCCATTTAACACTAAATTCCTAAATGTTGCCTTTGTGTTATGAATGCTTATAGTAATTCATGATAAGATGATTGAAAAAAAGTTTTTCTCTGTAACTCTAACTCTTCATTTTAATGTTTCTTTAGGAAAGAAATGATATTTAATATAGGTATAGAGTTCCATAAATATATCAGATGGAATTAAGGAGAGATTTTATGTAAATTTTTCTCATATACATCCCAGGTTGACCCTGGCTCAAGGCCCAGTGTGGAGCAAGGCATGCGACAATTTGAACAGCTTCTGAACAATAAAGCCTTCCTTCTGGTCTTCATCAGAACCTTAGAGGCTCAGAAGGGGTTTGGTATCAAAGATAAGTAAGTAGCAATGTGCTTACTGCATGATTGATATTCCCTGCCAAGGACCATAGTGTAGAGGTTAAATGTTATTGTAACAGTGATTTGAAATCATTGAAAGTAAGGTTTTGACATCACAGAGACTAGGCTTAATGCTTTCCTTCTAATTTAAGATGTTGTTGACATCTTAAGATGAAAATTGCTGATAAACGGAATCATCTTGAGAATAAAGAGAAATGTGTTAGCTTTTAAAAGTCTTTTATAAGGTTTTTAACCAAATGTTTAATTTATTTTTCCAGAGTGAATGTAGCCTCCCTGCTGATGATCATATTCCTTAACAAAATGGACTATGCAACCGAGTAAGTTGCTTGTTGTGTGCATCAAAAGAGACCAAATACTACTACCTGCTTTTATTGTATACAAAATGTGAAAAAGGATAGGTTATTTTAAGGTTAGAGTATGGGTGTTATCTACTTTCAAATTTTAAATGTATTATTATAGTCGTTAGGTGAAATATTGGCAATAGGCAGGCAAACATCGACTGACATTAACTTCTGACCATTAACTTGTTTCCAGAGTGCTAAAGAGTCTACTGGAAGACCTAGTGGACAAGTCTGTCACAGGAAAGCATCCTAAACTGATGTTAAGGAGGACAGAGTCAGTGGTGGAGAAACTGCTAACAAACTGGCTTTCTTTGTCACTGTATGGGTATCTCAAGGTAACCATGACATTTGTGATACTGTATTTTCAATTGTGACTTGCTTGATGAAGTATTTAGTGGAGGGAGGACTGACAAGCTGCTTGTTGTAATCACTGTGTGGTCAGAAACAAATACAATGACACAAGAATGAACAGAATGTTTTTTTTTTATTTTACAATATAGAATGATGTAGTACAACTGTCATCATATTTCACCTACTTTTTTTCTTCCAGACATCCACAGGCAACCCTCTGTTCATGCTGTACAAGTCCATCAAGCACCAGATGGAGAAGGGGCCAGTGGATGTGGTCACTGCAGATGCCAGGTACTCCTTGTCTGAGGAGAGGCTGCTCAGAGAGAAAATAGAACTAAAAAGCATTGTGAGTATAGCGTTTTTTTTTTTTTTTTTTTTTTTTAACCAATTTGAAAAGAGATGCGGTCGCCACAGCGAATGACTGCGAAAGGCTTATTTTAATACCATATTTTGCATATTTTAGACCAAATATTATTTTAAGAATATCTCTTAAACAATCAATTCTGAGAGTGTCTGAATATTGACATATGTTTTGGGGCACCACTGTTAAAAAAATCTGTCATTTTGTTTTGGAAAAGTTAAGGGGTCCTGACAACTCTGTACCTGGTTACAAGTTTCGTGTGCATCATTTATAAAACTAGTGCGTGCTATTATACATAGATAATATATATCAAATGTATTGATATTTATATGATACACCAGTGATAATATACTCCTAGTTATATATAGTATGATATTGTAGATATTACATATATATTTGTATTGTAGACCCTGAATGTAGTCCAGGAGGGAGGGGAGATGCTGCAGTGTCGGGTTTTGGACTGTGACAGTATTACACAAGTGAAGGGAAAGCTGCTGGATGCTATGTACAAGAACACTCCCTTCTCACGGCGACCTCCAGCTGAGACCTTGGATTTAGGTATGGCATGACTTCTGTATATTGATGTTGATTTTTTGTTATTGCTAAATGAATAAGTTCTAATTAATGCATTTAAAGGTTATATAGCTACATTCCCACGTAGAGAGTAAATACAAAAATTGCACCTATAGGTTAAGAAGAAAATTCCATCTTACTTAAGCATTCACAGTAACTGTTATTAAACCAGGCAGAATTATGTTAATGTAGCAGAAATACTACTTTTGATGTAGATAATTTTGAAAGAATTAATTATTATACTTTGTGACACAACTTAGGTGTGGTCTGGTAATATTTGTGCTCAAAGGAAAGTGGGATAAAATAAAAATTGTTTTATACAATAATTCCCCCATTTGTATTTCAGAATGGCGTCATGGCCGTGGAGGCCATCTTGTCCTGCAGGACCAGGATGTGACGTCAGAGTACGAGGATGGGTGGCGCCGTATCAACACACTGGCCCACTACAAGGTGTCAGACGGGGCACAGATGGCTCTGGTAGACAGCCATAACAACACACTCAGGTCTACTAACAGTAAGTGGCATCATGGTTCTTTTGTGTTCTCTTTCATCGGATGATTGAAACAAGTTTTGTCTTACTTTCCTGTAGTTAATGTGATTGTATGGATTGTATGAAGGCCATAGAGCTAAGATTATTTCAAGAGTGAACTATACAAATAAGACCACGCATAAATTGTAACTCATGCTGATTTCATTTATTGTGGATAACAGGCATTAAACCCAACCTTTACCTTTTAGCACTTAAATGTACAATCTCTCTTCACTGTTGTTTTCACTTCAGGTAATATGGAGAGCACGTTCATGTCTGTGAATTCCTCCACACCAATGGTACAAGATGTGGAACAAGGGGCCAAGGCTTATCATCTGGTAATTTAGGGAAATTGGTCTTAATTTTGATAAAAAAAGTGTGAAATAGGTTTAGTAAAAACTTCATTCCTCATTGGCAGAAAAGGTCTTTAGTCTCTCTAAAAACTTTTTAATCACATAACATTTATGCTTAATCATGATCAGATTTACTTCTTTGGCATTGAACAAGTTAACCTTGCATTTAAGCCTTGTTTATATGTGGATGTGATGTTGATGTCTTGTTTATTTCTTGATGTATTTCTTGCAGACCAAACCTCAAGATGATGGCACAATACAAAAACATGGGCACAAAGTGATATCTGAAATCTTTCTTACAAGGCTGTTGTCCACTAAGGTAAGACTTTTGAAATGTCAAGTCCCCAGTAAAACCACCTGCCTGCTTATATCATGTCCACTGTCTTAATAAAATATTTAGAATATTGTTGCTCAGGTAAAGACTGACAATTGAAAATTGTTTCCCAACTTAACCATTGTGCAAAATTGATATTTTGTTTGCTGTCATTCAAAATGTGGTATGTCAGTCACAAAAAGTGCTGTCACAGTGGGCAACTTATTTGCCTGTGAGCCTTTTAGGGAATCAAATAAATTTTAATGTTAGGGAAAATATTTCTCACTAGTTAATGACTGCTGCTTATAACTCCATCCTCTTTTTCAGGGCACATTACAAAAGTTCATAGATGATCTGTTTGAGAACATCCTGGCTGTAAATGGCTCCCTGCCACCATGTATAAAGTACCTGTTTGACTTCCTGGATGAGCAGGCCAGAAGACATGGTATCTCAGACCCTGAGGTGGTACATACCTGGAAAAATAACAGGTACTAGAGAGGCTGATATTGGTTCTTTTATTTTCTGAAATGCCCCATGAATTGTACAGTAGATATTAAGATAATTTCATTTGTTAACTTTTTTCATTTTATAAGTTAAAAAAGCTTACATTGCTTTGGTTATAAATGGATTAAACACTTGGGTTGAAACTTAGTTATTATATCTGTTTTTGGAAACGTGACAATTTTCATTGCCATCATTTCCCTTTGAATTTTTTGTGATTTCCATGTTGCTCTGTCTGTAATTTTTTCATTAGAAGGATGGTTGGCACAATTTAATCAATTTTACAGCACACAAATATGTAAGATTTTGAAGACAAACCCAATTAAATCAGATTATTTCTGTTCCGCATTCAGTCAGTTCAAATCTTTTTTTCTTTCCTCCAGCTTGCCCCTGAGGTTCTGGGTGAACATCATTAAGAACCCAGACTTCCTGTTTGACATCCAGGTATCTCATATCACAGACTCCTGTCTCTCTGTGATAGCACAAACTTTCATTGATTCCTGCTCAACATCAGAACACAGGCTAGGCAAGGTCAGTAAACCCTCACTGGTTGTATGGACAGGATGGTGCCAGACTGTGTGATGTCATTTGTTTAGCCATTGGCTCTTGCTACGTGTAATAGAAATGTGAACTGTATTGTGATTTGACAGTCCAAGTCACCTCATTCATTACGTTTGGTTGTTCACTGGATATTTTCATAAAATGAAAAATTTCATATTTGTTTTCATTTGAAAGCAAGTTTGAGAACAGGGTTGTCATGGTCGCAAACTTGAAAAGATTCTGAAATTTTTAACAGATTAAGTAGATCCCTGTTTGTATATATGTATTGCTTAATAAGTATTTTAATAATAATATGTAATATAAAATGATATAGTTCTTGTATTTTGTGATTCCATTATAACACATTATATTGTTTGATATCTGTCCAGGATTCTCCTTCCAACAAGCTGCTGTTTGCCAAAGACATTCCCCGCTACAAAGAGAAGGTGCAGAGGTTCTACAACTCCATCAAGGATATGCCTGCTGTCAGTGACCAAGAGATGGCTATTGCCATGAATGAGCTGTCCAGGGTAGGAAGAAATATGCAGCATTGAAAAAATAGTAGAAGAGTTATTGTAAACTCAAATTAGTCTCAACTTTGATATCCGTAAGAAAACATTCATAAGTACAGGAATATTTCGTGCTATCAGTGGCAAACAATTCTGTGATATTTGTGATATTTAATAAAAATTAAGTTAGCAACGCAGAAATTATTTGTGTTAACATGATTTACCTTTTATGAATTTAGTATTTTGTGATGGGACTGTGGTTATATGGTAGTATGTGATATGAACTGTAGATTTAAGCATGTTTAATTCTATTCCAGACATGCTGTACACAGTTCAACAAGACCACGGCTGTGTGGGAGGTTTACCACTATGCTACCACATATCATGATGAGGTAAGGTGTGACTGGGAGGGTCAATTTGTATAACAACAATGTACTAGTTTTACACAAATTTGTACAGTAGTGAATCATGAAAAGAATTCTTAGTTTATGTTTTATCTAAAAAAATTAATTTGAAAACATCATTAAAGGAATTTCTGACTTTCAAATATTGGTGGTGTAATGTGAGACTTTAAATCTGTCAAATATTTGATACAACCACTTTAAAATGCCTGTCATCCATCCATCTGTTCTAAATATTGTACTCCCTTGTTCAGATTTATGAAGAGCTGCAGGACTCTCCCGAGGCATCCAAACAGAGGCTCCCCATGAAGTTTGAGGCTGTGGCCGACACAGTGAGGGGAGAGAAGGACGGCTATGCAGAAATTAACTTCAAGTCTGATGATATGAGACATGTACAGTTTGTCTAAGGTCTTTCCAGAATATCAATTTTCAAAAAGATTGATGAAATAAAACCAAAAATGCTTTTAAAAATATGTAAGTGGTCCAGCACAAGAGATGCACATTATTTGACATTTACAGACAGTAAGCTGGAATGAAAAAGTCATAATTATTTGTCAAAATAAGAAACTGAAGTTTGATCAGTTCTGAGACAATTGCTGGAGAACAAAAGAAAAGAGGGAGCCTTGGATCAAGAAAAGACAAACCTACAGCCTGCAGCAAAAGTGCAGAAGTTAAAATGCTGAATACAAGAGACTGCTGTTTTTACTGTGATTTATTATCCAGACTTACAAGTGTGATCAAAGCATACTGCACTATCATTGACTGATATGTTCACTCTCAGAAATGCAGAAAAGAAGAATTACTTATTCATTGTCACACATCTTTTACAGTGCTGTTCACATGACAATTCATTTTGCTTGCAGCACCGAATTGTGATGAAAAGGAGGCAAAGCGTCCATGTTTTAAAAAAGATACATCTGGCTGCCAGATATTATGTATCATTAATTTCTAAGCTGTAAATACTACCTATTACTTACTCACTGTTGAACAGGAAACAGCTCGCTCATTTGTCTCATTCAAGACAAAAACCAATGGATTTAGACATCAAGAGCAAGGGATACGTCAGTGAAGAGAACAGTCTTCCATTACTTGTTGCAATTTGGAATCCCTGCCAACTATCGAAGACATCAGATTACTTGTCATGGGGATTTACAATGTAGCAGTGTGCAGTGATACAGTGTAACAACATACAATGATACAATGTTGCAGTGTTCAGTGATACCAGTGCACCATGACCAAAGAATGATGGCACGAAGTAGTGTACTTTTGCCAGTCTTTATGGGGATTGGAACTGTGAAACAACTTTAAATGTGTTCAACACATTTGATTTGTACTCACTGATATCAGTGGTGGGTTTTATCTTCTGCCAGCATCCCCTATCTTGAAGCATGTCTGGAATTGATTCTGTTATCTGACACGAGATGGATGTGTTGGATATTCTGGAGGGCAGCTTGTCGATAGTGCAGGAAAATAAGACAATCAGTCAATATGCAAAAAAGTAATCTGTACATAGATAAACTATTGATGGTGTCTTCAGTATCATGTATAACTCTGCTTGAACAAAACTGGTGCCGCAGTGATAGATGCTTTTTGACCTGTCATATACAGTGTGCTTTCTCACATTGCTGTGGGCTGGTCTAGCCTTTTAATAATGCTTTACCTGCATAGGAAATAAGTGCAATTTAGGCATTTGTGACCTCGCTGGTGTGTTGTTTGCCAGAATATGGCTGAAACATGTACTGCTGTTAGTATCAGGGGAGTTGTACATTGTAATATATAAAATATCAATTTTTTATACCACTGAATGTCACAAGTGGTCATATGGCAAAATGGCCGTGAAATATACTATGTGATCAACCAAAGATGTATGTGTTTTGTCGCTGTACAGAGAGTGATACTGTTCATCCATATAGCTTAAATATATATAATATCTATCTTAGGAAGATCAAAAGTATGGAGGTTTCTTCCCTACTTGTATGCAATTGTCAATGTTGCAGACTGAGTGTTAATGTTAACAGTTGGTGATGAGTAGATTAAATAGTACTGAACACATATGTTTCGGGCAGTACGTGAGTCACTGAATTGCATTAATTCACACTGATGTATACCAGTGAGATGTACAACAAGGTTGCACTGTGTACAAATCGAGGTTTACTCACACAGAACATGATCAAGGTTGTATTTTAAGTTTTGAACACAAGAATTATTCTCCCCATCTTTGTTTTTAATAATTTCTGGATGGTACTTTTATGTGCAAAATATTTGCTCTGGTAGCTGAATATGTAGAATGTACTTTGTATGAGTATTTTTGAAAAGTATCTTAATTAATTTGAATAAGGACTTTTAAAGATATGAAATCCTGGGGAATATTTTTGTTGAAGTTTGTTTTAACTTCTTTTATATTTCTTGCCTTTATCTTACATTTTATGTCGAGATTTTTTTCATTAGAATGAAAGTCCCAATCAAAATATTTTTGTTAAGGATTCAGTCAAATAGCACTATACAACAAATTTTTACAAAAGAGGATATGACACCAATAATATTTATTGTACATTTTACTTTTTCATCACTAAGAAGTCACTATGCAATTAGGAACAATTATACAATTTTGTTCTTCAAATTAATCCAGATTATTTTATTCCGAAGTGCCTTCCCATATGTCATGCAATCCACACAGCTTCCATTATGTTCACATTGAAAAGAACTTTCCAGATTATTCACAATTATTTTCACAATTATTTTTATTATACAGTACTAAGGTTGTCTGTTTGTAGCATGCTGTAGAAATTGGTACTTTGGTACAGCTCTGTGTCAGGTCAGGATTATAATTAGGTGGCGCCTGGCAGAAATGGGTCACTTACGGTACCTTTTATAAATAGGTCACATCTTGGTACCTCTCTTAAGTAGGTCACATTGGTTGTACCTTTCATAAATAGGTCACATTATGGTCCCTTGTCTTAAAGGGCTAATGGTGACATCATATGTAATAAAAGTTACAAGGGAAATAGCGATGAAATGCTCTGACACCACATACTAGTATAACTATAAAGTAATGGCTTTTTGTGGAAGCCTTTCGAAGGGAATATTTTGAAATTTTTGAAAAGAACCAATTTTGGTTTGAGGACTTGTTTTTTTAGCTTTTAATGCTTGGGTTTTATGTTGGTTGTCAGTTGCTGTCAAACTTAATTGTATTTGCGTGTTCCTGGTTAGTATATTTTTTGGAACAGATTTGAAATATCTGTTTCTATTTTGCATAAATGCTAATTATGAATTAACTAATCCCATATGCAGTATATATCATACATAACTGTGCTAAGATATAGTGAATGGCTTACAGATATTAACATAATACATTTAAATGTCTTAATTGAGATACCTATATTAGCATGGGCATCACTGTGCCTTGTTTAAGCTAAGAAATACACATCTCTGATGCAGTTTACTAAAGTAAAAATAATTAATGTAAGCTTTTGTAGAAAGGTCCTACCCACTAAAGTTGATAATCAGTCATTTAAATTCATGAAAGTTTATTAGTCGTGTATATTTCAAGGGAAGGATAGGAATTACTTCATATTGCTGCTGTATAATATCAGGCAACTGCTCCAATATTGAGAGATTGTGAATCAATTGGTATATTCAAGTAACCTGAAGTTCTTATGATAGAACAAATTGTGTATATTATGTGGTTTCTAATTTTAGTTTTATTATTCCAGATTGTTTGTGTACAGTTTCTGTATGAAAAATTGTAAATCAACATTTAAAAAGATGAAAATTAAAGTTTTATTTTGTAATGAGAAATTTACCGAGTTGTTTTGATATATACCAAGGGGCTTAATTTTAACTGGGGATAACTGGAGCTGGCCATTGGGTGGTTTTTATACTAGAAAGTTTTTAAAATTTAAATTTCTTTGAAGATGTCATGTTACAAATCCAAGGTTTCAGTAATGGTGGAAGAAAATGACATTATTTAAGCTATTTTCAACCAAAAAAAATAATAATAAAATACATACTTCTGATACAAACCTACTTCTGCTGCAGTAAAGACACCAAAAAATTATAAAAAGTGACCTTTTTATTAAAGCTATATTTACAGCAGTGAAATGTATCTGTATAACATCAGATGGTATTATCAAACTAAGAGAACCTTTTTCGGAGAATAATTCTGCAGTCATGCTTGGGATTATGAATTCTTTCAGAAACAGACACTGACCTGCTTTGTGCGACTACCAAGACATTTTAGTGCAAATCCATTCTTAAGATTTATGTCTGTACTGCAAAGGTTGTACATTTTACCAACACATTTACCATTATCAAAGCTGTCTGCACAAAATGTCCAGATGGGAGATTTTAACAATATTTACTACCCAAGTCTGTAATCTTAAATCCATGACATAAAATTACAATATTACAGAAAAATTCTATAGAAAAAGTAACTAACTCAAACTTATACCTCATCTTGTAATAAACAAAAGATTCCATATTCTAAATATACATAGATAACAAAAATCATACAAAGAAGTAAATGCCCTTTTCCAATCTAAACCATGGTTTCAATTTAATCTTGTGACTTCAAACAGGTATTTTTAAGCTATAACATTTAGCTGAAAATAAGTCATTTTGTGAAATTTAGTTTAAAACACAGTTGTTTTGCTAAAAATAATAATAATAACAGTGTCATATTGGCAACAATGTAGCAGTATAAAATCAGTATGAGACTGGCTTATCTTGACAAAATATCCCCCTGGAGGTGAGAAGGTCCCTACCCGTGTGCTGTGATTGTAAGGTGTACCAAACAATGTATATCCAAGTCCAAGGCTTTGTTCTATTTACACACACAAAAATGTTTATCATGTTCAGAACATAACTGCTTCTTCGCTAACTATAGCTGTACAAAAATAGTTTATCTTACATCTAGGTCCTAATCAGGGAGAGAGAGTACAAGAAAAATGCTACTCCCTCACTTCTTAAATGTGCTACAAATTACAGCCACAGACATTTCTATAATATAACTAACAAATAATAACTGTACACAAATAAACATGTACATAAGGATCTCCATTTACCACTTATTGCCTGAAAAAGACTATACAAACAGGCAGGAAAAAACTTTGGTGTTGACAGCAATGGCACTGTAAACACCAATCATATGATGGATATATAAGTCATGTGATGGTCATATGACAGTAATGTGATTGGTCTGAGATGAAGGAGATCTTCCTGTTCATAACAGGTATGAAGTTATTGTCATTATCTTAAAGTTAGATTTCTTCTTCTCTGTCTGTCAATCATCATCCCCTTCTCCCTCCAATCCCTCAACATCCTCATCATCTTCCACTTCTTCTTCCTCAACTTCTTCACCTTCAACTGAAAAATGAACATTGTCAGAAAAATATTTATTTTCAGCTTCATTAAAATTTACTTTTAGAATAATTAAAAGAAAATCACACTAGTTTTAAAAAAGCAAATATCTTAGCATATAATTAATCATATCAAGCGCTTTAAGCATGAGTTATAATGTTTATAAATACTGACAGTAGTCAGTGACTTATGATCCAAAGATCTAGGTATGAATGCACATGACTGTGATAAAAAAGAAATAAATATTGAGAATTTAACAACCCAGTATAGAAGTAACATTACCTTCATCTCCCTCTTCATCCCCATACACTTCTTCCTCCTCTTCATCTTCCTCATCGTATTCCTCAGCTGTGAGAAAGAAAACAAAAACACTCAATAACTTATTTAGTTCTAGTTCAGAACAGTGGCCAATCAAATATGGCCGACCCACTTAAAAGTTTGCCATGTAATCCCCTAATAGACACCAAATAGATTACCACAGGGATTACGCAGCAAGCACTCAAGTGGGTTGGCCAAATCTGATCTGTGGACTAGTTAGTTTGCTGCTGCAGATGCGACCTTGCACATTTCAGAGAAAGAATCAACTTGATTTTCTCAAATTTCTTTTCAGAACAGAAAATTGAACCCAAATTCATCCAATTAAAATCATGATTACCAAAATATCACACAAGTAAGCTTTTAAAATTGTAAATCAAAACAAACACTTATTCCTGATCAAATATTTAACAAGTTTTTAATTATGATCAAAGCCTGTTTAGTTCATACTGAGGTCTTGTTGATGGACAGCTGTCAATCATGTTTATTTACCTTCTTCATCCTCTCCCACCTCTACCACTGCCTCGTCAAGGTCCTCTTCATCCTCATCTTCTTCCTCTTCACTGTAAGGAGACAGTAATACACAAAGTTAAAACAAATATAAATGCTTTAAGTCTGAAATATGAGAGCAGGCTTGGGGCAATAACAATAGGTTTACATGTAGTCAGCTACCAACAGTGCTTACAGGTCTCATACTAAGTAAGTAAGTTCATGACAAGGCTTTTCTCAGCAAACAGTCTAGCCATCACCAGATGGCCTTTTCAAAGACGGCTAGGCAGTTTATGAATTTATTTTGAAAAATGATGGCTTGGACTCCCTAAAATGTTGCAGGAAGTCACAGATGATAATTTTAGACAGCCTGTACCTCCAATCCTGAGAAAACCCCTGATGACTAATGCAAATGCTGCTGCAAAACATTTATCAGGATTGTAGAGTTGTTACTTTACTGACTAGTACAGATAACAAAAAGTCACATTTTTCCTTTTATCTTGTTTTTGAAGAAGTTACTAGTATATACAGAATGTGACATTTTTTTTCTATTTTTTTTTCTTTTTTCTTTTCCTTCCAAAGAGAAATCACCTGTCTAACCCGTTTTCTTCCACCTCAATGTCAGGTGCTAGGAAATACTGCAGGGGGTTGGGCCACATGTCATCCTTTATCACCTGGAAGGTAAACCAATACCTTGTTAAATAATGCAGTGATCTTCATTAAAATATACATAAAAGAAACACAAAAAATGTTTGGTTTTGCCATGAATTCCAAGAATAAAAGCTACATTACACATATGATATTACAAATACAGATTGCAAATTAAAATTAAAATTAAAATTTATTGAACTCTGTCCTTTACTTGGTTTAGTTGTTAAATGAAATGGGTCTATGACACTAAAAACGTGACGTGTTGTACAGCAAAAGGTACTTAAAAACAGATGATACTATTAATTCTGAAAAAACAGAGTGCTAGGTTCCAAAATTACTTTCTTCAAAACTTGAACCCACAGAGTTAAAACTCATAGAGGCGATATTTCACCAACCTCTGCTATATCATCAGCAGAAGGGTCTGTGTTGTCAATCAACCAGGTGAAGAAGCTCCGTCGTGGCCCAAACTTCCTCTTCCTGTTGTTCATCCCCATGGCCTCCCGGGTGGCGTGGCGATGGACGAGGTTCATGTCGGGTTTCCATTTGATATCTGTGGACTTTGAGGCTGGGTCACCTGGAAATATCCATACCACTCTGGTTAATTTGTATATAATAAATAAAATGGAAAATATGTATTGTATTCTCAAATTTTGAGAATTGTTTCATGAAGATCAGGCATGGGACCAGACCTCACTGAAGAAGTAGAATTTCCACACTTCACCAGATTCACACGTTTCCCAAGAATGACCCAAATGAATCCGAAAAAGTCGGAATTCCGACAAAAGTCCGAAAGGTCTCATCAGTGTAAGATTCATCTAAATGATATCATACATAAAATGGAAAATACATATTGAAGACAATTTCAATAACTTTTATTACTAAGGTTTATCAAACTGTTTTTAACCAAAGATTTAACAACAATTTTAAACACTTGACAATAATGTATCTTTGCCATTTTTCCATTTGACAAAAGAACAGCAATTATCTTCTACACCTACTGTCAAATATTTTTACAGATCAACTCTCAATTGTAAGTGATTTTTTGTTTTCAATCTTTACCTGATGTAGCTAAGTGGAATTCTTTTGTTATCAAACTGTTTTCAAAGTATGGGTTCTCTTGAAAATACAAGTTGATTTTGTACCCTGATTTTATATCTTCAAATTCTTCTACTTCAACCTGGAAGTATAAAATAATAACATAGCGTAGTAGCATTTGATACGATAGAATGATATACATTTAAACACATACTAATAGGGGTCAAAATCATGAAATAGACTTAACAGTGAATATAAACACAATCAGAGCATCTATCACAATTCAACACAATTAAGTTATAGTGACTGTAGAGACAAACAAACACAATTTACATACAGAATCACTCTTTATAAGTGACCAAAATGTATTAAGAATGTTGGAGAACAAATTTTTTTTTATTTAATGAAACTCCATGTGACCCATGCATTTTATGACTAAACAGAACTTAATATTAATTATGAACTTTAAATATATTGCTTCTAAACTCAACAACTAAATTTCTGGATGATAAAATAAGATATATAAATGGAAAAAGAATTGTGTCTTAATGCTCTGTGGAGTGCGAATTTTATCCTGAGCACCACTCACAGAACCTCGAGTGGTATTCAAAATAAAAAATTGCTTTTCCAGAAAAAAAACTGACCTTTGTAAGATACCGTAAGCAGTCTTCCTCTTCTTCCTGTAGGATGGCTGATACTTGGGGGTGGTTCACAAACTGATCCAAGTCAAGGATCTACTACACAGTAAAATATGACCCTGTAATCATCTCTCAGTCTATACTGCATTTAATCATTTCATGGCTCATCATGTGATAAAATAAATTCTAAAAATTAAACCTCTCAACATTTGAAAGTGCATTTTTGGTCAAAACAGGTTAACATTAAATATTAAAATTACTGAAACTTTCTTTTAGAATTTCTCCCATTGAAAAATGGAAATTTGGTTTGGTATTTTGTTTAAAAGAAGTTTACAACCCCTCAATTTAAGTATGCAGATTCCAGGAAAATTGTATGATCAATTAGCAAAAATGCTTCCAATTCTGGGAAAAAATGACATTAAGAGAGAGAAATCGGACCGCTTGGTGTTGGAGATAGGGAAAATGATAATTATGCATAAAAGCATTTGCACAAAGTTTCCACTCCATATCAATATTCACAACATCTATATTTTCTATAATACTATTACATTCTTAGACGTCTATAACTACATAACTGCAGTTTGATTCTGAGATAACTGCCTTCTCATTGTTCAACCTAGCACGTTTTTCAGCAGTATAAGACTAGAAATGTACTTTGCAGCTATAACTTTTTTTGTGCAAAACATTAATTTAGAGAGAAAATCTCACATAAAACAGATAGAGGATACTGCAGTGACCCAAAAATTCGGTATCTTCTGTATCAGGGCATTGCGGGTCTCAAAATGCGGTTTCCTGAGCTTGTTGTACTTCTGTTCCACCTGCAGAATTTCCTCGCTGGCCTTCTCGTTGAGGGCATCTATCTCATTTTGACAAGCGTCGATGTCTTCCAAGGACCGCTGAGTGTCGTTATCGTAATCACCACCCTCTGAGCTATCGAGCTTGGCCACCTTCGCCTCTGGCCCCGAATCTGTGGCCATAACTGCACGATCGGAGGAGTTTCCAAGCCGATGCTAGGGTTATTTCACACACAAAGTGAGCGCGAACGGGAAAACGCACGCGCACATTGGCCGTGAGTCTATGACAGAGGTTGAAGTTCATTGGTCAATACTTGGAAACGTCCATAGGTCCAAGCTTAAAGTTTAACCAATCAGAGGTAGGCTATTATTTTCACTAGGTTTTGGGCAATATCCGGGGAATTTAGGTTTAAAAACCATCATGGCGGAATCGAGCGTGTCTCTGTCACCTCGAGTGGAAAACAACCAGAATATCTTTGACATTATACAAAAGGAAAATGTGACTGCCAAAGAGAATGACGCACCTGAAGTAGATACATCAAATAAACCGGCTACAGTCGTGGAAAATAAGTTGTCAAATGCAGCAAGAGACCCGAAAAGTTTCCGTAATTTGCCTGGACAGCAGTGCCACTTCTCAACCAAGGACGAAAACAAACCAGACGAGAGCATGGATGAGGATACCAGTAGCCCTGAAAAGGGCGAGGTCACTCCACAGCGACACTCATCCACTGAAAACCAATCAAGCACAGGCTGCAGTGAGCCAAAAACCGAGTCGCCGGTAACGCCTGACATGGGGAAACGAAAACGTACACACCATGACTACAGACGCCTGTCAAGCTCTGGGTAGGTAGCGGGCTTGTCATCAATAATTTAGAATGTGGAATAGTTACAGAATATCATTTTGTATGCATTTGATAAGTAAATACAATTCAATACTTATCATGATATCATTTGTATTAATTTGTGGACCAGTTGTTAACGAGTGGAGTTCATATTAGCAGTTATTAAAATATTCAGTAGAGCTCTATGATAAGTTTATTTATTATTTATTTACTGTAAGATGTATTATAAATTCCCTGTCTTATCTTATTTAGCTGGCATATGTTTATGACAATTTAAGGTATTATGAATGTTTTATAACACAAAATATTGTATTCCACTAAAAGAATCCAAAATGGGCAGCTAGTGTACCAATCAAAAGAAATTAATATTTTTCTTTTAATTTTCATATTTTTTAACAAGGTTGATGTTAAGTATTTTTTGAAGCAATAATTTATATCTATTGCAATCAGTTCTTATACATTTGATTTCATTTCCAGGTATGTGGATGACACAGAAGGCAAGGAAAAATTCCGTCCCACCAGCTGCAGTGAGTCTGAACTGTCCCCCACCCCACCCAAAGTGATGCCCCTGAAGATCAAGCTGCCCAGGGCTGACTCCCTCGTCAATGGTGTGCCAGGGGGTGAGTACAATGTCACAGTTAACAGACTGGTGAATTCCTTGGGCAAGTTTTTTTAACGAATGAACAAAAGATGGTCTTAACTTTTATATTCCATTTCTTGGTTTACTGTTGCCCAAGGTATTCAGCAATAGTCCACTAATGTGAATTATTTCCCATTTTATGCAAAGAAATAAATAGATGATGTATATCCTCAGTTGTTGCTTTATTTTCATTAGTGTCAGACTAAAGCACATTAATCTGGAAACTGAGTAGCCCCAAAAATTTGGTCTAAAATTGAGACCAACTTGAGTTTTTATGTAGAGCCAGCCCAGTTAAAATAATAGATTCCTAAAGATTCTTATTCACTTAATGTGCTCTGGTATTGTCTTAGTTATCATAGTAATCATTTTTTGATAGGTTTTTAACATCCAGACAGCAATAAGAGGAAAATCTGTGTAAAGTTCACACTAGGATGCCTGTTAAAATTATCTTTCAAAACTAAGCTAACTTGTATATAACTTGTACTTTGTAGATTTGAATTTAGTACTTTAAAAGATATTTCGTTTAGTTATCATAGTATGATAATTATTGAATGGTTTACCTTTTTCTGCCATTTTTCACATTTATTTAATTCACAAATGTTGATTCGGCTATAATTACCTGGCTATTACGCTGATGCCAAAGTGAGGTTATTGTTGCACATATCACAAGACAGTATCTTTCTGTTAGTTTGCTCTTAGTTGATTGATGTGGTGTTTGCATTAGAGATTTTGATTTCATTATTTTTATTCATTTATTGATCTATCAAAATGAAGTCATTTTTTTCTTGATTTGACAGAAAAGTAAAAGTAACCAAACTATTCCAAAAAGTCAAGTTATCAAATTCTACTAGGCACAGTATAACATTCATAAAAAATACATGAAATATGGCATCTTGGCTGCAAACACTCGAGTGACAGTTAACATTATTTGCTTTAATTGGTTATCTGTGCCAAAGGCTGGAGCACACAAACAATTTCCCTTTTGCTTCACTCAGTATTTCATTCACAAATGTGTATACCACAAATATGTGTACTATATCATTTATGTATGGAAAAGCACATTATTTATGGTCTTTTTTTAGTTGGGGAGGTTGGATATGCATCCTTAAATTCTTATAAATTGCTTGGAGCATTTTGCAAACTGCTGTGTGTGTGGTGACAAACATGGGCCTTTTTTTCTTTTTTTTTTTTTTTTTTTTTTTAATAAATTTAGTCAATAGACAATCTTATCCTAGCCATTTAAGAATCTAAACTGTCTAATTGAATTTGAATAAAAAATTATAAGGCTAATTTTTACCTTGGTAACTCCTCGGCAACATGGTAGTCTTATTGATAGATGTTAACATAGCTGAGTATCTGGACTTGAAAGGCTTTATGTAAGGTGTGTGTATGGTATGTTTGTTTAAATAGTTCTTTATAGTAAATGTAATTTCTTAACTTGTTATCAGAAGTGCACTAGCTAGGAGGTCAGTTGTTATCTTTAATGTCTTAACCCTGTAAATTATCTGTAACATGACTTCAAACTTGGCAGTAGTCATTTTTTGCCTGTCTGCTGCTAGTAACATAAGCCTGTATACCTCACTGTGTATTAGATATGTGGAGGGCTGAGTACATGACAAAGCTCACTTTTCCCCTGCCTGATATTACCTTGGCCTTCGCTGAGTATGTGTGGAAAACGAGGCTTTTGAGTGTCCGACATCACATAGTCCCTCAGTTTTATATCAGAGCAGGAAATGGCTGAGAAAAACCTGAGCGAGGTTAGACCAGTAAAAACTCTTTGCCACAGCAGGTATGGTAGTAGATGTTTGAAAAGATGCGTGAAAACCTCCAGTTGCGTATAATTGGTCAGAGGTCATGAGGGCCGTTTATTAGGGTCAATTGTTATTGGGGGAAAACAGGCAACTTTTATGACTCTGACTCAGCAAGAGAAGTTGTAATATTTTTCTGTTACTGTTAAGATACACGCATGGGATGTTTTATTTGCTTCCTGGTATTTTGCATAATCTTAGTTGATTTATGTTTGATGCTTTCTGATACAAGAATGAAGCTGACACCAGTTATTTAGTTTTTACAAAGGCATAAAACCATGTATTTTCCATATTTACAGGCTGGATTTTAAAAAATCCTAACTTACAGGCTGAAAGTACAGTCTTACTGGATTAAGTATAGCTAGGCATGGCAAAGTTCTGATTTGCACAACTGATGAGGGTCCTTAATTTGCTTACATGAAAGTTACCCCACTTGAAATCAGACTTAGAAAGTCCAAAATCTAGTAAAAATCCTCTTGAATTGTTAGGTTTGTGTTTGTATGAAGTAGAGTGATGTTGAGGTGTGAGGCACAGGTAACGAACACTCAGAGGGTTTCCTCTATTGTTTTGTTCTTCGTGTATTTTGAACATTTAGTAGTTTGACCCTGGAATAACTGGTTTGTGGTGAGAAGTTGGCATTTTTCAGTACACTTGCCATTAGTATTTGCTGTTTGATCACTATTCTATGTTGAACACTTAGATGAAACATGAAGTCACATATTTTCCACCAGTGCTATGGCTATAAGTGGAAGTTAGGTTGTGTATGTTAGCAAAAGAAATGCTATAATGAATGAATGAATGGACAGATCAGAGTGGGAGAATTTTTCAGTTACCATTTATAGTAAACCGTAGAGATTGTTTTACATAAAATATGCTAAGGTGAAGTGTTTCCTCTCAGTGAGGTCCATATCTTCTGTTTCTATAAAATATAACGATAACAGATAAATCGATAAGAAAAAGCTTTATCAGTGATTACACATTTTATAGGAAAAAGAATTTGAATAGTACTTCGGTCAATCCTAGATAAAACCTAAAATGTGTACTTTCTTTGTTGAAAGTAAGCCATCATTTAAGGGACTTGCCTATTATAAGCCAGTACTTCAGTTGTGAGAGTGAGCATAACTTATAATTAGTGGGTAACAATTTATAAGTGAACACATTAAAATTCCAATGATTGTACTATATGGAGACAGTTTTTGTTAAAAGATGGGAGATTTTATTCTTCATTGAGAGATTGCTTAAAAATCCAATTACCCTTACAGAAATGATCATTTCAAACTATTATAATTAGATTTGCTAACACAAAAAATAAAATATAGATATTTTTATTAACATTTCAACAAACTTTTATAATATTGAATAAGATATCTATTATTATTTCATTTCAGACCCTGTGTCAGAGACCTGTTCCATAAAGACCTCCGAGTCGTCGCCACATGATGAGAACACCACAGCCCCCAGGGAGAAATCTCACAAGAAGAAACACCACAAGGAACATAAATCTCACAAACATAAACACAAGGCCAAGGAGAAACGGCACCACCATCATAAGCACCACAAGGAAAAGAGGGAGAGGAACTCTGAGGAATCACCAGGGGGAAGCACCGTTGCAGCCACAGCACCAGTGGTGACACCTGGTGTGGCTGAAAGTCTTCAAGTCTCTGGCAGCACTGAGACGGTTGTAGATAAAATATCGAATGCATTTGATCTGATTGAGCCCAAGGTCAAATTGGATAAGACCCCCAGCAAAAAAATAGTCAAGACAGACCCTAATGTCATCTCTCAGACACCAGTTATTGTCAAGACAGGCCATAAAGACAGTCATAAGGTCAAGACAAGTCAGACTGACATTAAGAAATCGACAGAGGGTAGTGAAAAGGCAGCTGGGAAGATGCCCTCTTTGACACATAAAGAGGGCAAGAGTGGTAATGGACAATCGAAATCACATGGTGAGCCTTCTGGGAAAATTACACAGAGTTCTGGGAAGGGTACGGATCATAGTTTAAATTCATCTCATACAAGTGCGAATAAAACTTCTCACACAGTGAAGAGATCTAATAGCACAGAATCAGCAAAGAAGGCAAATAATACAGAAGTGTCAAAAAGTTCAGACTTGGCAAAGAAACTGACAATCAGGGAAGAAAAAGGTGCAAAAAGTACTGAGACTTTAAAAGTTGCCTCTAAAGGAGAAACCATATCATCATCATCAGACTGCAAGTCTAAATCTCATACATCTAGCAGTAAGTCAGGTAAACTTTTCACTGGGGACAAAATGATTGCAAAATCTAGCCCCAGCAAAAGTAACTCATCTAGTCATAGTAATTCAAGCCATCATAGTGTTAACAAAGAGAAAAAGAAGGAAAAAAGTAAAACTGATTCAGCACACCAAAGAGACAAAACGGCTGGCTCGGGCTCTAAACCTGAAAAGCATCAACCAGTGGACTCTTCAGTTGTTAAAGAGAAGGATGCGTCTTCCCATCAATTACAGACAGTCAAGATAGAAAAAGATAAAACTAAAACTGTACCATTGACTTCTAAGAAGGACAGCAATGCAGTAAAAGTTTCACAAAACAAAGACCAGTCGCATAAGGTCAACAAAGATGGTGGTCATGGAATTAAGAAGGACGATGGACAAGGGGTCAGCAAAGATGGCCAGCATAGGGTTAACAAGGACAGTGAGCATAGGGTTAAAAAGGTTGGAGACAAAGATCTGACTAAATCCCAAAGCAGGGATGGGTCGCAGATGGAGGAGAAAGTTGCTTTGAAGCGCCCACTAGACAAGACAGTCAAAGGCAGCGACAGCAGTCCTCATAAGATACGGAAAGTTGAACACACAACCCCAGAAAAATCTCACAAAAGTGGCAGCTCTTCTTCAGTAACCAGTAGTACAAAGAAACCCGATAAAACCAAACACAGTGGTGGGGCAAAGTCAGAAAAGGACCATTCATTATCAAAAGGTGGCAGTGCTATCAGTAGTGATTCCAAGAAGGACCATCATCAAAAGACGCCAAAATCCAATAATAAGGACAGTGGTGGGCTGCAAAGGACTGCTAGCAAAATGCAGCTTGATGCCATAAGAGCGTCTTACCAGGCTAAATTACTGGAACTTTCAGACAGCAAAATTGCATCTCAACCAGATACTTTTAGAGACGTTGACATAGTTATAAAGAAATCTGATCTCTCGTCGAAGTATAAATATGGTCACCTTATGCATGTGGAGGTTCACACCAATGGGGGCGCTAAAGTCATTCATTGTTACCAAGAGGAGCTGGACTGTTTAACAGCAGAACAGAGTGAGGAATTCGCACAGGAGTTTTTCACAGAAGCCTATGGTGAGGAACCATACGGGACAGCCAAGTATGTGATGGCTATCGTTCATAGAGCTGCCTCGTACCTTCCCGATCTGCTGGAGCATTTTGCCTTCCTCTACCCGCAGCTAGTGGTCAAAGCAGGAATACTTGGAAAGTCGGACATCGAGACCACGACGATGGAGTCGTTCGTTGAAAAAGTACGCCAGTCGTACTCGTATGGGACTTTCCGCTCCGGCTCTCTCCTCCAGCTCAGCCTTGTGGGCACGGTGACAGAAGAAGCCGGAGATTATTTCCCTGATTTCCTCGACATGCTGGAACACAACCCATTCCTGAGGAAGAGCATGCCCTGGGGTGACCTGTCTGTAGTCCACGGGCTGCCAAGGAATCGTAGCAATGATGGGCCTATCTTGTGGGCGCGCCCTGGTGAGCAGATGGTGCCCAGTGCTGATATGCCCAAGTCTCCTTTCAAGAGGAAAAGGTACTGATTTCTGTGTTCCATAGTACAAGTAAATATTTGGTTAAAGTTATGGAGTTAGTTGCCAAAGAAAAAATTGAAATTTAATGTACTTAATGTGCAATATATGATGAAAATGTGTCATGTTTTTGTAAATTTAACTACGTTTCTTTGCAAAATGATGTTTAAGTACAAGATCATGCAAAAGACTAGGGATGAAAATAAAATGGGATCTGTATTAGAGCCTTTGAAAACTCCTTCCCAAATTGTAAATTACACTGTTGTTCAGATTAAGAGAACATAGTTATGCAATTAAGATGACATTACTACATACAATGAGTGCATGTTCCCCACATTGAATTAATGAAGATGAGTATTAGATTCAGACTAATGCAAAAAAAAAAAAACAAAAAAACTATGCCTTGGTGGAATGAGAGCTCTAAAAAAACTAGCTTTGCTGAATATATCATATATATTATGGTGTAAGGCAGACCTAATTTTAAGCTTGTTTTTATGCTGCTGATTTCTTTTGTAGGGGTATGAATGAGCTGAAGAACTTAGCCCTGCTTCCCAGGGTGTCAGAGCCCAGAGAGAACCTAATAGAGGAATATAATTTATTTTAATAATGCTGATTTCTATTGTAGGGGCATGAATGAACTGAAGAATTTAGCCTTGCTCCCCAGGGTGTCTGAGCCCAGAGAGACCCTGATAGAGGACCGCACCATGTGTCACGCTGACCATGTGGGTCACGGGTTTGACCGGGCTACCACTGCAGCCGTGGGGGTACTCAAGGCTGTCCACTGCGGTCAAAAGTAAGTTGTCCCCTAGAAGTGTTGATATTGATGATTTTATCAGTTGTCTGAAAATTGAAATCTTTTCTGATTGTAAATTAGTCCTTGAATTTTGAATATATGACCCTGGAAAGTCCTTGAAAAGTCCTTGAATTTCATTTCAAATCATCTGTATGAACCCTGCATCAGTGTAATCCGACAGAAAAAATTGCTTTCTCTTTCAAAGAAAAAAAATAATAATAACCTTGACCTTGCCTCTGAGGTTTTAGGGTACTTTGGAGCATGTGGGTGATGAAGTATGCATCCTTTTTTTTTTTCTTTTTTTTTTTTTTAAGTAGTATTCGTTTGAATGCAGTATAATACTGGTAAAATAAATGGAAATGTGTTCTCATTACCCCCAGGCCTGCAGGAGACCGTATAACAAAGGATGTGATCTGTTTTGAGGCAGCCAATTTTGCCCAGGTGACAGAAATGATGCAGCTTGACCTCCATGAACCGCCCATGTCACAGGTACAGTAAACGTTTTTAATTAATCCAACATTTCACTTTAAAAAAGTTAACCAATAAAACTGCCTGTCTAAAATTTGTGTACATATATCATGTAATCATGGTTGAAAGTTTTCAGGATTATGTCTGATTTTAGGATTTTAAGTCATCATTTTTTTTTCCATATGGTCTTAATGCAATAAATTGCAAGCTACGTTTTGGGGATTTTCATTTTTTACAACTTTCACCCATATATAATGGATAACATACAATGATTATGTATTAATATTCTTTTTATTTCAGTGTGTTTCGTGGGTGGAAGATGCAAAGCTAAATCTAATGCGGCGAGAAGGCATTAAATATGCACGCATTCAGCTACGTGATAACGACATCTACTTCATCCCGCGCAATGTCATCCACCAGTTTCGCACCGTCACTGCTGTGACCAGCATCGCCTGGCATCTTCGCCTAAAGTCTTACTACCCACCAGAGTCTGAACATGAAGACGATAACAGTGACGCAAACAAAAGTGAAAGTGAAACCAAGGAAAAAACAACCACGGGTGATAATTCCGCAACATGTGATGTTAAAGCTGAGAAGGGTGTCAAAGACAGTGTTGGCAGCAGCAGTGGTGACAGTAACAGTGTTACAGAGGTGAAAATGGAGACAACGTAGCAGTCAGTAAGTTTGGAGAGACTGCTTATTCAGGGTCAAAAGCCAACTTTTTTGTATAGGAACTACATTTTCATAATATTTATTCAGGAAATACATCGTGGAATGGTTTAGGTCAGAACCAGAAGGATCTGTTTTCTTTTAAACATATAAAGATAAGAATTTTGTTTTTGTATGGATGTATTTTCTTATTACTCCATTGTTTTCATCGTTATCTCCACCATGGCAGCAACTTGTCTAAATATGTGTCAAGGACATGATTGAAGGGTGGGGTCAAGGTCAGAAAATCGTCTCAATTAAATAGAAACTAGCTCTAAATATTCTCAGCCAGCAGTCAAATTGAGATTTTTTGTTTCTATGGGAAAGAATAAGTCAATATGCAACTTTATGGTTTTCTGTATAAACTTAAAAGTTTAGTTGGCTTTTTTAGAAATTTGTTTAAATAAGTAAGATGTAAGCTCATCCTTAATTTTTAGGCAAATGAATCTCGTATCTGCTGTGAACAGCAAATTTGGGCAACCTCCACATGATGTGCTTATTAATGAGAAAATTCAACCATGCAAAGAGAGTATTGTAGTATATTGCAATTGTGCTCTAATCTGGCAATACATACTTCCAAGTTAAATTTTTATTGTGGTTCACCAGGCCGAGCGTGTTAATTGTGTTTAGTAGAAACTAAGCTTTAAATCAAGGGCTGGCTTTCAACCCGTTGTGCTAGATTTACCTCGAAGTCAGAAAATGGAGATATAGTGAGCAGACCCAATTATTGTGAGATATTTTAATTTAATGCACACTTGGTGAGGCAGACACCCTCATTATATAAGCCCAAGTCCAGTTGTTCAGCTCCAGTGGATATTTCAAGCTTTTCAGTGTAAGTCATATTTGTGCCATGACTTTGTGTAACTTTTGTCATATAGTACTTATGAAGAAATAGACTTAAATTTGCATAAGTTTTTTATAGCACCTTCATGTTATTATTATGATAGTAATTTATAGTTGTCCAGTTGAAAGGATAATTTAAAACTTTGTAACTGTATGTTTGCAAGCTCTTTGTACTTGCAGTGATTTCTATAAATCTGTATATATTTTTCTTTTCTTGTTCTCTATAAAAAGATTAGTCCATTTACAAATGGTGGCCTTACCAGTTGAATTGCACTGTTTGTATTATGAAATGTGCAGTTGCAAAATGGTGAGAAAAGATTGTATATAACTTTGCCGGTGAAATCAAAATTAGTATCAAGAACATTAGTATCTATTGGAAAATAGAAAGTGAAAGTGACAGAGATAAGCAGCATTGTAATACTGAAGTATGTAAGACCTGTAGACTTGCCCTTTTGAGGAAAAACCATTTTTCGGTATTTTTATGCATGACTTGAATGTATTTTTATGAAGTGACTTGAGAGAGGCAAATGCTGATCTGGATAAATCACTTGAAAAGTCCATTTGTTTCATCAGTTTTTTATTTGATGGGCAGCTATTTCTTAGTACTGCCTAGTTACATGGAGTAGAACAGATTCCAAGCAATCTGTGCTTTTTGTTAGTGTATTCCCATTTTTCCAAGTTCTTGTCCTAAATGTCTAACTTATACATCAGCTGCCGATGTGGAATTTTTGTTAGAGTTTTTTATTTTCAATAATGTTTTGCAGTATCGTATAAAGACTGTAGTAAAAGATTTATATTTGTATATATTTGTAAATGAACCATGTGTATAGCCCCCTTATGTGGGTATCTGTCAGTCCTTCAACACGTGTATGTGGCACATATATGTGCTGCTTTATTTAAGATGTTCATCGGCCATATAGTAAGGCTCTTTCTACATAATCTTTTGAAATGTTATAGTTTGTAGGGTGCAATCTACTTCTAAGCCTAGTTTTGGGTCACACATGGGCAGGTAGAAATTACGAGAGGGGAGGGGGAATGAGACTCCACTAGAAAGCAGACCCGAGACAGCAAGGATCATTGGTTTTAATGTGATGACAGGCAAACTTTATGCAAAACATAGGTTGGGAAGCAGTTACAAAAAGGCAATTTTGAAGAAGTAATCCGTTGTTCTGTAATCAAATTTGGCAGTGAATGTTGAGCTGAACTATTGTTTAAAACCAATTTCACAGGCCGTCGGGCTTTAAGCTGAGGATTCCTAAACTCGAGTTCAACCCTTCTAAAATCCAATTACGTAGCTTGTGTAAGGCCAGACCAGACAAAAACAGATGGTAAATTCCCAGTTCATCAGGTTTTTAATTGCATGTTGTTTAATTGTTCTCCTAAGATGGTAGAAATGTTTGATTTTGTTCGGAATTCAGCTGTACATATCTGCAGAAACCGTTTACTATGCTTCTACGCTGTGAATATAGTGCGTCGTAGTGTGCAATTTCCATGGTCAATACTTTCATGTCTTCTATATATATATATATATATATATATATATATATTTATTATTGTTTCTACAAAGACTGATGTAGAAGATTTTTGAATAAACGGATGTAGTTTTCTAAATGATGGTTTTTCTTATTAGAACATATGTAGTCTTTAAGAAAACTAAGGTTGGCAATTTATCTCTGCTGCACGTTCCTTGTATTTTGAAGTCGATAATATTTACATTAATTTAGCCGACTGCGGTTTACAGCATCTCTGATACTTGCATAACTACTCTATTATTCATTCATGCTTGTAGATTGGGAGGGAAAATGCGTGCACCTTCAGTTACTGCTTCACTAAAGCACTCCATTCACTTGGATTGTTGTGTTTATATATTTTAAATAACATGAAGGAATGGCAGCAGTTGCAACTTGCACAGCGCAACTAATGCAATTTTGAGTCGGCTTTTGCTTCTAGTGCACTCCATTGACTTCCCTGGCGTAAGTGAGTTACACGGGAAATAGATATTGTGGTGTAAAATACTGCTTATTCTCTAGATATTTTATAAATTATCATTATTTGTACATTCAGCCCGTCTTTGTTTTTCCCCATCTTTCTCTCTCTCTCTCTCTCTCTTCACTGTGCTCGAGTCTGAGAAAAATAAACAAATAAATGAAAATCAAATTGAAAAAGAACAGTACATAATTTATTCCCTCTCGTAACCACGTGACACCTCTTGACGTCTAACTTAAATTGTTTTACCTGTCCTCGTACACACAGCTATTGGGTGCGTATTGAGTGAGAAACAAGGTCCTTTCTACGGGGTGGCAGATTATTGAACGTCCAATTAAAAATGCACGCTCATTTGGGCAATTATGTTAGGTCCCGTCGGACATATAAATGAATTGCCTAACAGTTATGAAACTTTCTGCGCCTCTCACTCTAGCGAGTCAATGGTAAAATAAAAAAATCCATTAAAATGACCATTCAGTGATATTTGTTTACTTATAATAACCCCCCCCCCCCCGAAACCCATGCCCTTATGTATATTTGGCTCAATCAAACACGTGATTTTAGTCAAATATTATGTCATTTGCAAATGTTTACAATTTGCGTCCACGAACATGAATCTTGAGTGGCTTTTAAACGGTTTATCCTTTTTAGCAGACTCTCAACCCCGTCATAATAATGCTCAAGCCGAAGGCAATAGAAAATATTGGCATCTTGTATTAAAGCATTTATCGATACTTTCATGCATGCCTGGTGCTGGAAAAGATATTGCAATAAAAAAGTCAACTTTAAATTGGTGTGCATAAGCAGCGTCTTTTAAATCGCAGGAGTGCCATTGATTTTGTGGCTCTAATGTGCTGTCTCATACACGCCTCGTGGGATAAGCATACACAGTGCTCTGTTGACATAGCTCGACAGTAACATGGCGACTGCGTCTTCCAGGGCAAATAGACGTCTGTTTTCTCTCGCCAATGAACGCTGAACTGTTACACTAACTTTTCAACGCCGCAAAGAGCGGCATCTTAGTTTAATGTTTGCGGACGATGTGTGCTCGAGAAAACGACCGCGGTGTGTTGACTGTTGCAATGTGCGTCAAGGTGGCCCAAGGCTTATAGTGTTTGTCTAGAGGGAACCCTAGTCGCCTCACTGTTTGACGTTGTCACAGCTTGCGTTTACCAGAAACACCGGAGAACGAATTTGTAGATTATCCTCAACGCGCTGACGATAATGGAAAAATTCTTTAAAATAAGGTAAGATATATTTTATTCATTTAGCTTAATATTTGAAATTGTCATCAAAAGGGTAGTGTCTGCTACTTAATATGGTTGCGCAATTCCTTGTTCTTTGCTCTGTATTATCTCAAAGTTTGAGTTTTAGTTTATCATGTTTGAAAAACTAATAGATCACCTGAATAATAAGTTCTGATAAAAATCAGATTAAAACACTTTTTCGTGAACAAAGACGTTGATCAAAATAATTTGAACAACCAATTCAACGTAGAAGACCGGTAAAATCATGTGATGTCATTCTACTTTTTTGTCACCTCATTTTATGCGTCTTAAAACTCAAACAATTGTTGGGATGAATATTGAACGACAGACTAATGCAGTATCAGGCAAGAGCAAAATCAATTACTTCTGCAAATGTGGGAGATGATTTTAGTCGCCAGTGAAAATCCAGTGTTGCTACCTATAAACAGTCGTTTATCAATATTTGGATTATAATTCTAAGATAGTGTGGAGAGTTATCGGCTGTTAGTGTGGCAGTGACAGTGAATTCACGATTAAAGAGAAGTGGTTATAACCTCTCTTTCTCTCTCGCTCTTTCTCTCTCTCTGATTTTCTAATATAATTTGCTGCCATTCTCTCTCTCATTCTCTCTCTCTCTCTCTCTCTCTCTCTTTTAGAGGCAATCAAATGTGTTCATTTACACAACATACTATAAAAATTTCAACTCTCATATAAAGTTAAACGAACATGTTGTCTTAAAGTTGTCTTTTCTGCAACGAAAACTCCAAAAAAAAAAAAAAAAAAAAACGATGCAGCATGCACAAAAATTATATCAAACGATTGTTTCTGATCGCATTGTTTTAATAACATCATGCTGAACGCTGAGCAGGCTATGATCGTAATCCCTTGACTAGCCTTTTATCTGAGTTACCTGTCCGTATCTAAGATGCAATGAGATTAATTCTTGTTTAATCAAGTAAGCTCAACAACCCCCGAAAGGTATTACGTACATCTGTGAGATAAGGGTCACAGTCGTCGAATAGGACGCGTTGAACTTCGCCACAGGCAAATAACTAACTGTTCAGTTCATTTTGTGTTTTAGGAAGGCGAAAAAGAGGTAAGGGCGTTTGTTTTCGAGTTCACGGTTTGTAATCAAAGAAAATGTACTGAATTTAATTGAAGACGTTTTTTGATTCCTCGCTACTCAACTGAAGCTCATTTTAGTATATTAAAGATAGATTAATTGTTTTGTCATAAATAATCTGGATAATGGTTCAGTCTTCATGGACTGGATTTGGATTGCGGAATACCAGGGTTTGTTTCTAGCAACCCAGAGTATTTGGTAGTTTGTAAAATGTCAAATTCGGTAGAAATGCCACAGTTCAGCTCAACATATTACTAGGTTGTTAGTTGGCATGGAAACAACGACGCGACCAAAAATAGGCCTTCACTTCACATAAGGGTTTGCTCAAATTATCGTAGCTTTGATAACAGGGTTGTTGAATGTGACAATTACCCCTTGATTTCCTACGACTAAGCTTAGTAGATTCTGCCTCAATTCTGTACGGGATGCTCTGAATTACTTCCGCAAAAGATAAATAGGTACCGTTTGGTATAGCGTGCAGTTTTTAAAAGAAAATATGACCATCGTAGAGCGACAATGAACTACGGCCTGAAATATAAAGAGCTGCTTGACAACGTTGTTATATTTTAAAACTGTCAAGTTTTGAAGGGAAGACTGACAGCACTGGACATCTTTTACAACATGTCTCGGTTCTAGATTGACGGTGTGGCTGAAATTGTAATCGTGGGGCTGTATCAAATTTCTAGTGTACGGAGAGAAAGTAAAAAAATAACAAAAAACAATCACATACTGTGGTTATTCGACTGACTCGGTTGCCTCAGATACGGAAAAACAGAGCATCAAATGGAACGAGATCAAATGAACAATTTCAATTTAATGCACCAGTTTTTCAATGCTTTTATTTGATTTGAATATCCATTTATGTGCAGAGAAGTATGGTTTTATTCGCTTTCTCAAACAGTTAATATTCATGACATCCGCGAGCACTGAGCTGTGGCTGACTTGTTTCCAATCCTGCGTGTTTGCCAGAAGCCGTGTTTAGTTCCGTTTTAACAAACTTAGTGGAAGTACTATATTAAGTATTTGGATGCTTAATTAGAACGTCCATTTTGCAATCCTTTTACGATCCTCGAGCTCAGTCTAGCATGAGAAGACACGGTATTGGAGGGTTGCAATCAAGCACTTGCTGGTTGAAATTTTAGGACTGTAACATCTTTGTTGAATGAGATATGAATGCGGCCTGTCGCTAGATCAATAAAGTCATTACAGTAAAAGCATTTTCTTCTTTTCTTTCTTTTTTTCGAGACTAAAAACTAAGGACAATAACGGGGATATGAATGGCTTGACAATGTAATCAAAAGCACAGCCACAAAACAGTAACTGCCTATCTTACATAATTTATATATGGTTACTTTTATCTTGCAGCGCCAAACTGTAGCCTGCAAATATAGGACTTCCATCTGTGGAATTATGAATTGAAAGATGGAGCCCAAAGGCAGCAGTGGCATGTCTGTACCAAGTCAAGGTAGTGCGGCTACGGTGGGCGATGCCAAGGGCGGTATAGTTTCTTTAAAAACTAGCGGCCCAGAGAGCCGAAGCGGGGTGGTTATTCGGGTCGGAGGTGAAAATGACGCGGGTAAAATGATGGTAAGTACAGTAATTGTACTAGCAGCAGAAGCAGCTGTAGCAGTAGTGGTAGCAGCAGCGGCAGTAGCTGTAGCACTAGCAGTAGTACATGTAGTAGTAGTAGTAATAGTTGTACAAGTTGCAGAAGCAGTGTGTTGTCATGCACAACGCATTATTGGCTGATATTTCAAATAATAACTTTCTTGAGGGTGATAGACAAAATATCTGAAGCATGGAATAGGACTTTTTTCACAATGTTTAAATATCTATTATCATTTGCAAACGTGTCTTTCCTTTTTGATTGTCTTCTTCTTCTTCATTCTCTCTCTCTCTCTCTCTCTCTCTCTCTCTAGACCTCGTTGCCCCCGAATTTAATAGTGATACAAAATCCTTTACAACTAGCTTTCGCACAGCGGTTCATATAGCACCAATGTTACCGCTACGCGACTCACCGCTTGCCTCAATAATTCACATAAGATTATGAGATTTTATAGGCAAGACAGCCAACAAAAAGCGCTGTCTCTTTCAGCAGTGTCAGTTCTGCCAACAATGTGCGCTGTCTTTTGCTGCAGTGAGCCAGTTTGTGTAAATATCTCCGTTAATTGTATATTGTGTTTCCAGCACACACCCGTTGGTAAATTTGATTGTTCTAGTTTTGTTCCCGATCAGCGATGTTTGAACGGTGTCACATGTGCAATCAACTTCAGCAAACGCGCACACAAAGCACTGAAAGTAGCAATTTCAGAAGTTTTTTCTTGGTGTTATTTTGTAATTTTGAAACACTAACCTTGCTTACATCGCTAATAGGGCACCGCAAAAAACCATTTTAGTTAGCTATTTATTCATTTGAACCTAAGGTTTTATAAACAATATGCTTAAAAAACAACGTGGATTTTCTCCATCATTTTCTCAATAGTAGAGAAATCGTTCACCTTTTAACCCAACACACAGTCAGTAGAAAAATTTTTTTAGCTGCTTTTCAACGAGTCCGTTATGAGGACTTCAAATTATTAAACCAGAAGTTTCGGAGCCCATAGCAGGCTCAACTTCGCACTCCAAACTGTCAAAGCTAGACTGATTTGTAGGCAGTCTGAACCAACTATATCACTGATAAATCCGTTTGTTCTTTTGTTGGTATGTCTTAGATCTAAAAAAATTGTGATCTATTTGTCTGCATGCTTACTATGGTTTACCAGTACATTTAGTGCACACTAGTCCAAAGGCACCTGGGAGGCAATTTAAATAAAATTGGCGGTGGGGGCGGTGGGGGTGGAGGGGCGTTCCGAAAAGAAAACCGATAAGCAGTGTGTGTGTGTGTGTGTGTGTGTGTGTGTGTGTGTGTGTGTGGAGAGAGAGAGAGAGAGAGAGAGAGAGAGAGAGAGAGAGAGAGAGGGAGTAAGACTCTGGCTATGAATCAGGTATCTAATGCAATATGCAAAATTGATTGAGTTTTGTGCCACCATATTTTTTTCTAAATCTGCTCGTGCCAGATCATACAAGTTTGACACGGAAAACCCTCCCATTGAAAGGGTCATGTAAGTGGACCGAAAAAACAAAGCGCATTGTTTTCAAAATCTATTAATGGACCTGAGCTGTGCAGGGTTCACACACGTACGGACCTGACCTGGCATTTACGAGGTTATTAAAAAAAGAGCTTTTAGGGCGCATTCTCATAGATTTTAGATCGATCTATCCCCGTGGGGAGTCTAACTAGATTACTGTCAGATAATCCGGCTTAAATGTCCGTCCCGCCTACTACAAGCTGTAAGGGGGTAATTAACTTTCGTACCCGCTCGACTGACAGCTATTTAGCGTGAACCCCCAGGGAGTTAGGTCGATCTAGTTAGATCGATCTAATCTCTGGGAATGGGGTCTTAAATACATGGCTGTGTACAAAATAACGAAGTGAAAATCAAATTGGATATCAAAGGAGAAAACTATCGAATTGGTCTTCGTCGAATTTTTTTCAGTTTCCCCCCCCCCCCCCCCCCCCCCTCCGTGTCTTGAAACAATGAGATCACTTCTCCTTCTCCAACGTGCATTTTTCGTGAATTGAGCTTCTAAACTATTAGGAATATATCGAATACAGCAGCTGTTAAACAAGGTATCAAAAGAAGTGAAATGGACGGTAAGCGCAAAAGATTGCTAAATACTCGCTCGCTTCTTATTTCTCGCCAAAAATCTCAGATGGGGGGTCTCTCTAAGATAAAAAAGGAGTCTAACAAGGCTTAGAGAAGATTACATATGGAAAGCGATGTTTTGATTTATTGCCAAGCATGGTTAATGTATCGGACTTACAATTTCCATTCCATTATCGATCGTTTCCTAAATAGTCTATGCCATACTCTTTCAGGCTCTGTTCACACAAGGAATAATTCATAATGGTTTTTAGACTTAACTCATTTCCGTGATGCAGGTTGTTAAGTTTTGAATTATTTTTTTTGTAAAAACCCATCGAAAAAGAAGTCGGAAAGCAAACGAATCCTTTTTGCTAGGCACTTTTTGTATAAATGGACGTTTTTGGCACTTAGTTAATAAAAAAGAAAGGGATACACTCCTCTTTATATCTACTGACGCAGTGGTTTCCTCTAGTAGTACATGTATGTTATACTGAATTTTGTCCTGAGAATAAACGATGCTAGTTTGTATCGATATTTCAATGATTTTTGGGACTTACTTATCAAGCACTAGGCACAACTTTATCCGGATTCACATAGTCCCTTTTTCCATCTACATGTTCCATCTCTATGTTCTACACGGTAAATAACATAACAGCAGTTAGCGAACTTTTCACAGGGGTTAAAAACCTCTTCAGAGAAAAAATATTGGGACATTTCAAAATGCGCAAATTGCATTGCTAGAATATATCCCTCGATGTAAAAGGCTTTTTTTTACCTTTTAGGAGCATATTTCCCTTACTAAACATAAGCCGAATAAATCTTGCATGCATTCTTTGCGTTCTCAATTTGGTCTTAATGTTCATTTTTATGATCAGGAGATAAAGATTGCCTTATTTCAAAGCATGCATCAGTGCTGCCCTTCTAAAATAAAATTGTAAAAAAAAAAAACGACGATTTTGGATAATGGCACTCGCATACCCTGTCTCTTTAACTTTTGGCAAAATGCCCGGGATTCCAGACCCGTAGGAGTTAAGAAAAATGAAAACAGAAAACAGGAACTGTTTGTTTTCTACCCGAAAAAATACTGAAATACTAAAAGGGCCCCACAGGTGGCCGTTAGTGTCATAGAAAACTCCGACATGACGCATAAATATTGACGGAGTCACAGTTGGCCATATTGAATATTTTTACTTTGCCAGAAATTTAACAACAAACAAACATGTTATGTTCCATTCATCGTGGGTTTACGATGTCAAGTTCGAATCAAATCGGTTGACCTTTGTCAACCCCTCCATTGTAAGCGGATCCAACGATATTGTTGCCCGCTTAATGAAGCAGTAAACTCTCGTGATTTCACGTTTCAAAATCATTCATTGCTGGTTTAATCGCCATAACGATTATGGGGTGCACCGAAAAGTCATGCACATTTGTTAACACGTCTTAAATCTTGAAATGCGTGTGTTCCTTTGTATTTCCCTCAACTTTTGGGCCATTTTTTATTTTGAACATTAAAACAGTTTAATTCTCAATCAAAATTTCGGATTGCTAGTTTATTTACAGTTGAGTTGTATCTCCAGTTTCTGTTATGATATTCATATAGCGGAACAATCTATCGATGACCCCTGTATTGGGTCTGTCAATTCAATTCAATCCGTGTGGACCAGAAGCAGCAATGCAAAACACGTTAATATGAAGTCGTCGTAAAAGTGGGTCTCAGACCCCCAAAAGGGGACCATGTACTTTGTTAAAACGCGGTTTTATCACACGTTGAAGGAGGCCTGGATACAGGTAGGGAAAGCTACTCACGGTTGTGCAAGTTTTAATACATGTATATAGATCAAACGTTTAGTGGGTGTTTCAGGCATCTGGCGGCGCTGGTTTTTCTGTCACTTTAGTTGCAGTGTTTTTATTTTGAAGCAGACTGCCTTGTAGAGTTGGCAAGAACGTCTATCGATTTGAAAATTAAGCAGAAAGCAACCGTTGCTAAAAATGTCTGTGAGAACGTTCATATCATTTCTCGATGTTTGTATGTGAATGCGAGTGCACGAGTGTGCTTGTATGCGGGTCTGCGTGTGCGCTGTTCAATTGTGTGTGAATTAAATTTTCGTGTGCGAGTGCATGTGAGTCAATGTGTGTACATGTACATAGATGCATGTGTTTGTGTGTGAAAGAGAAATCAATCCTATATTTGCGAACGATCAAATCGCAATACTGCAATTATAGATATAAAATGTTACTGTATCGAATGCCCATGAGTCACAACAAATCGATGATATACATATATACACAATATATATTTTCAGCCCACTGGTGCTAAAGATGCTAGTCATATCAGTTCAGAACCACAAGAACATACTCTTCGCATCCCAAAGCTTCACCCAAAGGCCAAACACCGCAAGAAAGACACAGAAGACGAGGAAAAAGATCCCGGAGAAGAAACCACTGAAAATTCATCTGTGAACTGCGAAGAAAGGACCTCGGATGTAGATGAAAATGGAGTCCTTAACGAGGAGGAAGGGGAGGAAGAGGAAGATGAAGAAGATCTGGAACCGGAAGAAATGCAATATGAAGAAAAAGAAGTAAGTGACTTCAGTTTTTGACAGTTGCTAGATTAAGGTTATCTGCACTGTTTTAACTTGATGTGTTCATAGGGACGCCATGTGAACAGCATTTCAGTATGTAAACCCGACACAACTGAATATCAGCGACAGAATGTTTTTAAATTAAATGTAATTGAATATTTCAATAAAATTACATATTGAAAGAAAATACCTGAGCGTGATAAACAAAGAAAAGGAGAACGAAAGAGGTGGGGCAAGAGAGAGAGAGAGAGAGAGAGAGAGAGAGAGAGTGTAAATTTGAGAAAGATACACATCTTTTGAAACTCTATTTAAAATTCCATCATACCCCACAAAAGCGTCGTTAAGGCCTTAACTGCCGTCGATTGCACAGGAAATAACAAGTTGCGTACAATATAGCTAGTTTTGCTAAGTAAAGACGTCTGCTTTATTACCACGACCAAACAAAATACCAGTATTTATGAAACAAGTATTGTGCAATATGTAAAGCGTTTTCAGGGTTTTCAATAAAATGGTTCGAGTCTGCCTTTTATCACATTCTGACCTTAGCGCATTACCTGGCGAAGTTATGGGGTTACGTGGAAAAGGTCGTGTTTGCCGTATAAATACGATTGAAACAGAGTCGACGAGTGGTGGTCCTTTTTATATAAACTTATTACCGTATTCTATAGGAAAATCCACAGTTGCTGGGCTGTTCGGGCATTCAGAGTTATACAATGCGAACTGGGTAATAAAAACAAACATGGCGTCTAATAAATCGATTTTATGGTAGAAATAACTGCCTCTTGCGTCGAGTGATATGTAGTAAATGTGATTGCAATACTTTTAAGTGCAATGTTTTGTGTTTTGGTTTAAATAAACGCAGTTAGATTTCAATTGGTTCAGAAAACTAAAAATAGAACTACAGTATGTTTGACTGGGTGAGAGCGGACAGATATTATCTATTCTGGAAAACAAATATTTTCATTTTATGCTTAAACGAGTAGAAAATATTATTGCTTCCCTTCATACATTCCTATCTTTCTTTTGTCCATTTTCCACTCAATTCCTTCGCGCTCTCTCTCTCTCTCTCTCTCTCTCTCTCTCTCTCTCTCTCTCTCTCACACACACACACACACACACACACACACGGTATTAGCATGTCTTTTCCGTTGCAAGAGGCACCGAAAATTATATATTTTGATATCAAAATATTTCAGGCATTATACAAGGCCGTGTGTGAGGGCGACATTGATGAAGTTGAAATTCTGCTGGACAAAGAAAATGCCGACATAAACATGGAATGGGTAAGGTTCTGGCGATCTAGTTATTAGCAAACATTTAATTGGGCTCACCTTAAAATCAGCACTTCAGCTTTGCTAAATTTGTACAGGCAGAATCAAATTAAGATAAATCATTTTATTAGCTTGTGCATAGAATTACAAAGAAATTGAAAATGGATAGGACTATATTAAGAAATGAATAATTATATTTCTGAATATAATGAATAATTATATTTTTTTCATTTTCATCCAGTTCAGTGAAAATCTCCTTGTGGCAGCTATACGCCATGGTAAAGAAGAAATGGCGGAATTTCTTCTCGACAATGGTGTAGATAGAAATTTTGAGACATCTCGCTTGGTAAGTCGACAATTTGCTTTTTTTTATTTTATAATATATAATTAATTGTAAACTGGATCACATCTTATTGCACACCCATTATAAAGACTAGAGAAATTTTGCGAACATAAAATCACGGCTGCATCATATTGTGGCCATCATATTGTGTCCAAACTAATCAAGTTTTCAAACTTCAATCTAAACTCAAATTTTCAATAACTTTATCAAGTTTGAGTGTTTATGACAATAAATTATAGCCTATATAACATTATGATTATGCTTCCTACAAATCCTTACCTGTTTTTTATTGTTGATAATTTTAGCTTTGTATTGAAAAAATTGAGGAATTTATTATTTATATTAGCATAATTTTACTTCGATGACGCCAATCTACTAGGTTCCTTTATGCCGTTTATCGACAGAATTTAAAGGGCGCACATTAACAGTTTCGATTTTTTAGAGGCCTTTTGAATATTTAAATATTGTGAGTTCCTGAGCTTTATTACCGCACGGTGGAACATTGATTCTCAATTTAGAGACAAGAGCATGCTCGTTAGAAACGCCAGCGAATGTGATGTTTGATTTCAGCTCTTGATTATAGGCCTAAGTGAGATTTGTATTATGGACTCCATGATAGTGATTTAAAAGCCAGACGCAGTGCGTTGGCAATTGTGAGACACGCCCTTTGTTTTCTTGTATTCAAAGTCTTGTTTGATGTCACTCTGTTAAGCTTAATATTTATTAAACAAAATCTTATTAGCTCAAAATTGCTGTTTTGAGATTGCTATTTAGCTGGCAAGGAATCCAATTCACTGTGATCTTTATTTACAGGAAAGAGCTGAAGACGAAACAGGGGAGGTGAGCTTGTCTTGGTACTCAGTTTCATGTCGCCAGATGGCGTACGACGCAGGGATGCACGACTTGGTAGAACTCATTGACTACATGAATGGGGACCTCTTTAAATTCATTAAACCACGCGAAAGAGTACCAAGGATAAGAAGACATTTTTCAGAAATGGAAGTTGATTCCGAGAATGAGGAGGAAAATGATACGGAAGGGTTATTTTCTTCAAGTGAAAAATTGAACGTTGGGAGCGTCAGCGAAATGGCAGATTCAGGGTGCGGGTTTTTAGAGGAATTAGACAGTGAGAATGAGAAAAGAAAAAGGAAACACACCAGTGGGCGAGAAGAACACGAAACAAGCGAATCTGAAAACAGTGCTAACAAAATGCGACCAGATGATGGATACGAAACTCTTTCACCTTCACCAAGAACTTCACCTGTGTTTCGGCACTCATACAAAAACAAGAAAATCGGCGAACAGTACGAATCGAGAGAAGAAATATCAGATATTTCCCCTCGTTTATATGGAAAAAGGACAGATTTATCCTCAAAACAGCCGCCTCGCTCAAAAATACACAACTGCTCGTCGACGTTTTCTCGCCCGCCAAAACAATTTCAGCCCGTTGTAACTGCGATTGGTAGTTACAGATATGAAAGTAATTTGTGGTCCCCAGCAAATATGTACAGGTTTAAAAGATCAAAAACAAAGTCAACCAACCCATATCAAACTTCGACAAACCCTGTGAGGGTGCACAACAGAGATCAAACATTTAAGGCAACTTCATCGTTAAAAGGGATTCTTAAAAAGAGACCCGCACAGTCCTATTCGGATAATTTACATACTTCATCCCCAACGCTTTCAACAAGGCCTACGGCCGCAGTGCAAAAGGGTCCCCATCCCGACACAACTTTGACAACTCCGCAGCAAATCGCCATTGCAACGCACGAGAAGACGACACGCCTATTAAAGCGGCAATCGAACTTACCGCCAACAATTAGAGCACATACGCAAGAACCTAGTGTATTCGAAAGACTTCACTATGGAGCGGCTCATTACAAGAGCCCTAATATCTCGCATATAGCGGCGGGGAATTCCAACAAATTGGTAACCGCTAGAGCAAATCTCGTTCACAATTTATATGATTCAAAATCAATTCACAACAGGCGCTACTGAAGATTGATTTTGCAGGCTAATTCGGAATAAAGGTCTGTTATTATATACAAATGTCATATTTGACATATTTAAATTAGCTGTAAATTACTAGGGTTACCTTAAGTTTTCATTTAGACAATTAAACTCGTCAAATCATTCTGGGCTTTCAGCTGTATAATGCAATGGAGTTACCTTTAACTGCAATTAGTATATCAAAAAATGTTGTATTATTTTGACTTAATGAATTCGATAAAACCGACCATACAAAACTACGTTATTTTGTTAACCTACAAGGACAATAAAGTGCAAACTAAGTACTTCTCTATGCCGCCTTTCATTTCAATATAATTAAAAGCTTTGAACCATAATAAAAACGCCCCTTAATGAACGGAACATCTTTTAATGAAGTAATGGCACATCTTTTCTCTTCGTAACTTTTGGAGCTGGAGAAGTTTGAAACAAATGAAATCGTGAACTCTTGCAAATTAATAAAAGAAATAAGAAAGGAAAAATTATAAAAACAGCTCATGTGTAATAGGATTCGAGGAAAGAGCATTCCATCAGCGTGTTATGTTCTGAAAAAAAGATCAAATTACGGAAGACACTCTTTTTGTTAAATATTCTACAACAATAATAAAATGTGATTTATATTAATAGCAATAAGGAAGGTGTTCATTAATTAGATATGAAAAAAGAATAAACAATAGACCAACGCCCATATTTTGGCAAACAGTTACCAAAAAGGAGACAAATGTAGAGTCCGTTTGTCTGTTTCTCAAATTTCAAGATGCATGATCACTTTGGATGCATGCACTATTTAGGTGCTTTCATCAAGCAGTTTTATAACCCCTGTATGTCGATGGCTATTTTTAAAAGATTCGAAGAGAAAAAAGATATAGCTCATAGTTTGGGCAGGGTGCTGAGTATCGTAATGGATTACATTATGTAGCTCAGGAATGGTTCACTGAATTTCAGAACTAACCATTGAAAACAGTTGGGCATGGGCAAATGGAATCAGGCTAAAGCTCACGTGGTCAAATTTCAGGCTTGCTTTATAAAAACGAAACAAAATATTATTATAGAAATTTTTAACTTATTAATTATGTTTTGACCGGTGATTTTAAACAATGGACAAACAAGAACCAATGTATGGAATCAATGACCCTTTTCTTTAATGTTGAATGAAGTTGCGTGGGACAGCGAACACTGACAAACAATTGAAAAGGCCACTCTCAGCATTCCTATTGAAGACAAATCTCGATTACTTGCAATAATGATTTATTGTTGACGAAAGTAATTTTCGTAAGTTGGTTTTCTCCATTTAATTCTTACTATGGTATTTCTGTTTTCATTTTTCCAATTTGATTTCCGTATAAAAACAATTATTAGTAGTTAATAATTTTTTGAATGACCTTTCTAGTGTCTATACAAAAAGAAACGACAGGAAAATGCCAATTAAATGCGCCCATTGCAGCGCGCGTGCACATTCAGTTCTCATCTCCACTTCCGACCTCTTTCTCGGTACATTTGGGATCCTTTGGAAGGATGTAGCCATGTTCAGAATAGGTGTTGTCCGAGGCGCAGTTCATGGACGGCGAGCAAGGGCAGTCGTTGATGTATTTATTTTGGACCATCAAAGGGCCTAACGCATCGCACTTTCTGTAAATATAATATAATATAATATAATATAATATAATATAATATAATATAATATAATATAATATAATATAATATGTAATTCTAGACCTATGGTTGGTCAGTTTTTAAAGATATTATTATTATTTCAAAATAACATTTTAGATGAATTTAAATGAACTTGCCAAAACCCTCTGAAATTAGCACCGGCAGAATCACTATACATCACTGGCATCAGTTTTACCAGTTTTCCTTTGTAATGTTTTTCTATACTATTAACATGAACGTAACGCATTATATTTAATGCTCTACTAAAATCATTTTGAATCACGGAAAGCTACTCACTCTCCATCTTTTTTGTATGGCTGACAAGTTCCTGCTCCTTGCAGTGCTGAAGTTATGAATAATAAGCATGGTTTCTAGTCATACGTTAAGAGAGTGAGAGAGAGAAATAGAGAGGGCGAGATCTTTCAAGTACAATTTACAACAAATGGGCAGTTTGACAATTCCGAATGATTTCGATCACTCTCAGTGATTTTTCAAAATAAATACATAAATAAATAAATAAAAAATTACCTAGACGACCAATAGCAGAGAAAGGATTTTCCTTCAGCGTGTATTCAAAGACGCAGCATTGGTCGCTGCCGCAGTCAGATGATTTTCCACATGGTTTACTGAGTATCTGTAACAAATAAATGAACAAATAAGTAAATGGTAGATAAACTGTATAATACATGGGTGCCATGGTTAATTATAAAGAAATCGTATAATGCACGAAAAAAAGAAAAAAAAGACACAAATGAATAAATAACAAAACAAATATTTGTATGGTATATTTGTTTGAAGATAACAGCGCATACTATATAGTATTTACGGATACAATGGTAGAGCGTTTGCATATTTGTTAATGTAGATGGCATAGCGTATGTATATTTGTTTACAAAGACAAGGGCACGTCACATGTACTCTTTTCATACCTGTTGTTTAATCCACTGCTGTATGAGATTTGCTTTTGCTTTATTCCATGAAGAAATCAGTTTCACTTGCTCCTAATGAAGTGATTAGAAATACAAGTTTAGCTCTTATCAATGACTCTGTCTCAATCATTTCTTGGTGTACTCAATTTAAATACCCGGACAAATTGACTGTCTTAAAAAGCACTAATTTATGACCCAGCGGTGGGATGCAGCTCACATCCACGCATCACTCATTTACAAACTTGAATACAATAAAAATAGTATTCATTAAAAATAGTCATTTCTGATCAATACTGTCAAACTGAATTCAAGTGACTTAAACGATGATAAGAATCAAACTATGTTAAAATTTCATTATAAATGAAATGTGTACGACAAGGTGTTGGGATTCAGCTAGTTTTACACGAATCTGTTTCTTTTTGACGATTATTTTAAGTGTTCCTACCGGTTTCCATTGCTGAACAAGTCCGTTTATCCCGATGGTCATCTCACTAACTTCACTCTCCTTCTCCTTACTCCATGTGTTTGCCAAAGCCATCTTTTCCTGTCAAATTAAACAAGGTACTGTCAGGCATACTCAAAGTTGTCTAGACCTGATATGCAGTGCAGAAGTCCAGTGTCATCAAAGCTGCATAACGTTATCAAGTGAACAAATTGGCTGCCATCCTCAGGCTCTCTAACCCAGCAGCCCTTCTAGCTTTTATTAACTTGGTTGGAGGTCCTTCTGTGGAAAGTTATCCTCTAGATAGCTTATCTAGAGGACATCACTGCTTCCTTAACAGTGGACAGGATTAATAAGCCAAACCAGATGGTATCAGTTTCATCATATGGGCAGTGCTACCCAAAGGATAGCGTTACTAAGCTTCCATGAAACTTAGGCTGTATTCCCAGAGCTTTTAGATCGATCTATCCCCGCGGGGAGTCTCACTAGATTACTGTCAGATAATCCGGCTTAAATGTCCGTCCCGCCTACTACAAGCTGTAAGGGGGTAATTAACTTTCGTGTCCGCTCGGCTGATAGCTATTTAGCGTGAACCCCCAGGGAGTTAGGTCGATCTAAAGTAGATCGATCTAATCTCTGGAAATGGGGTCTTAGTGAACATGTAGGCCTACTGTGATCTGCGTTTGCCAGCACCACCGTATTGCTCAATACCCATTCTACAGCCGTATCTCTGCCCATATACATACACTTAAAGATATACATGTATCTGTACGGGCATTCCCACCTAACTGCCAGTCTCACCATGGTCTCGTCCCCACTGCCATGTTACCCCGCCCATCTGCCTGTCAATCTCTCTCTTCCACCGCCCACCCAGCCAGTTTCTGTCCACCTCTTTCTTACCTTATTCCACTGTCGTTCCAGCCGAGACTTCTCTCGCCACAATCGCTGAATTAAAGACTTGACTTCCTCGGACAGGTTCTTCTTCTCTCTTGGACCTCCTTTTGCCTGCTTAACCTGGTTACCAAAATTAAAAAAGATACCCGATGAGTTCTGGTTTACAAAGAAAATGAATGGGAGCAGAAAACAGAACAAAAATGACCAATTTTTGTTTCTACCTTTAAAAAATCTCGGTATTTTGAGCGACCTTTATACCATAATGTGTTTTAAAATGTTAGTGAAATTTCTAAATGTAATTAATTTTCTAACACTTCATTCATAACTTCACATAACATAATAACTTTGATTTTAATTTTAATATCCTTTTATTTTTAGTTTGTAAGTATTGGTAATTATTGCAACTTTGGTTGCAATCTTACAGTGAATTATTATTGTTATTATTATTATTATTATTATTATTATTATTATTATCTAACAGCATGATATCTAAATACGACAAACTGGCAATGTTGCAAACCTTCACAAATACTGTTATTAATTAGTTTTTCCTTATATTTGCCAATTTTATTATCAAAACTTTATCATTACTATAAAAAAAACAAATGTATGTTAACAACAAAGATAGACATAACGTTTCCCGAATCACGAAATCACGGGAAACCAAATGATACCTACCATGGCTGCCAGCTCTCGCTGAATCTGTTGGATTTGTTGCCCCATCTCGCCCTTCACCTTGTTCAGCTTGTTCTGCAGCGCCGCCTTCATTTGATTCTGCGCCTTTTCCATCTCTTTCTGCAGTTGTTTCTCGAGGTCCTCTATCTGTGGGGGGTTTGGCTTTGTGAGCTTGCCTTAAACAATAATAGAGAATTTATCCACAAACGTGAAGAAAAATTTATGGCGGCACTTTTTTTAAAAAAGAAAGGATCAGGAAATCAAAGTTAATTTGAATGCAGTATTTCAGATAAGACATTTACCCATTTATTCCAAAAAAGTATTTAGTTACCTGGCGTCCCCTTTGAATGCTTGCTTTTTTTGGAACCTTTGCTCTTTGCCTAATATAATATAATATAATATAATATAATATAATATAATATAATATAATATAATATAATATAATATAATGCAATGCAATGCAATGCAATGCAATGCAATGCAATGCAATACAATTCAATATAATATAATATAATATAAGGTTGGTGGAAAGATTAAGGATATAGGACCTGCATGTGATCAACTGAACTAATACCGTAACATTTACAATTTCAGCACAAACACTCCAACCTTAAATGGTTTTCCCTCAAAAAAAAAAAAACAAAAAAAAAAAACAAAAAAAAAAAAAAAAATGCAGACATGCACACTTACACACGCGCACGCACACGCTGTGCATTCTGTATTTGTTCATGTATTCTAACTAAAAGGGAAAGATACGATTTGTTAAATGACCTTTGACCGTGAGTATCTTATAGCAGTAGAGGAGGTGCGTGTTGTATTGGGGGAGTGATAAGTTGACCATCACACATAATCTCGTCGTTCTGTTTAGGGGAACCACCTATCTTAACTAGATGTATCTATTTAATGAAGCTGTAATCAAAGTAAATGTGTGCCTATCTGTGAGGAGCTATTTTAAGAAATACCTTGTTGACTCGTCCTACAGATAATTCGCCTATCTAACCCCTGGCCCTTTGCAAACTGTTTGGTCACTAGTAGGACCAAACTCCTTCGTCTTAACTAGGAAACAAATTCTACTGTAGTTCACGCAGTTTATTCAATCAATCAATTGACTAATCAGCAAATTGGACTCTTCCATGGTTCTCATCTTATTTAATTACAGGACTTACTTTAATTTAATTTTATTTAAGAGAAGAAGGGACAGAATGGGGCGACGAATAACGCGCAGAGATACCCCAATGCATATCTTTAAATCTCCTTTTTCAATAGAATATGTAGCCTGCGGACAACGAAATAGCTTCAGCTTGCTATCAGTCTAAACAAATTTCTACAAGTTCCAGCTTTGTTATTCAAGCAAAGCAAACAAGAAAAAAGCGGCTCTGTTACTAATACTTTCACTGCCGCTTTTACTCTAATACACGTAAATAAATAGATCAATAAAAATGATGCGAGAACATTTAGAATAATTTACCAAAATTAAAAACTTAAATACCAATATATGCTGATATATAGGAACCGCTTACCTGGGCACAGACAATCAGTGCCACCAACAGCAGAACCAGGAGAGTCCTCATCTTGTCAGCTCTTGAACGTTCTGATACTGATTTTGGACCACACGCAGGCGTGTTATATACACATGTACATACCGCCCAGGGGCGCCACCCCTAGCTACGCAGTTATCTCTTAATATGACAAACCAATGGGTCTAGTGATTGGACCATTTTGTTCGTCACAGTCCCGTGTACTGGTGACTCTGTCCTTTGTGAGTATATACTCATGGAGTGACATTTTTTAGAAAAAAATTTAAATGAATGGAATAAATAGAAGATTGATTTAAATAAAGAAATATCCAAATATATGACTTTAGGTATTCGTGTACAATTGTTGGGGTTATGCAGTGATGCATTTCATTCCATATGTCTGGAATACAATTCCGACGACAATGTGGCATCATGCCCTAGTACTGAAATCCTTGAGTATCCACAGTATTTGAAAGTTTTTTTAAAGAAGACTGTTGACTAGATAGAGCAATAAATTCCATCTGTTGTCGTCAGAGCATCACATGAGTGTGGGAGAAGCTTAAGTTTAGCCCTTTGAAATAATCGCTCAATGTCTTATTCTGTGGTGAAGAATCTTTTAAAAAAAGGAAAGGCATGCTTTTACACATACACTGTATATAACGATATGACCATACCGCCCCATATATTGAAAATGTAAAATCTACCATAGCATTTTTCTTGCCCTCTTAGCCGTGCTGTGATTACTCTCTCTGTTTGATAAGACGACGGGCAGTTAGATACAGTACAAGACACTACTGGAAATATTTACATAAAGTCTGTTGGTTCTACAGTGCCACGCCTACTGATAGGAGGATGTCGACTTATGACACTTGTAAACGCTCATGTGGATTTCTCGCACAAACATCGGAAACTTTGAGACAACGGATTTTATTTCGTCATGCTTGTCCTCAAATCAGTAATAATCAGAAAAGGAGAACTCATAACTTTTGCAAAACGAGTGCCCGTCGATGCCGATTTCATGATATATTAGCTTGGGGTAAAGATGGGCACCCAAGAAAGTCTCAACACAGCTGTAGTGTCATTTGGTTTCCACTATATTATGATACGCACACACGAAAGTGACGACGCTATGAGTCGCGTCAGTGATACGCACATTTTATTTGCGCACCTGTTTAATATCACTGCAGATTTCTGTCCGCATTGGAAGGTGACACACCAAACACAGAAAATATCTAATGGCCCGATACGCCAGTATAATTTTAACGGAAAAGCTGCAACACCACTACAGCAATGGAATTGACCAACATGCACTCTTACAGCGTTACATATATGCGTTACATATACTGTGCAGCGATGATAACATCAATACTGTAACAAACATTATCAAGTTATTAAAAAGTGCTAAAAGTAATCTTGAGAGTTGCTTGGTGTGAAAATGAATTAGTGAATCGTTTTAACATCGTTTTATAAAATATAATTTAATAAATTTGCTGGCAAGGTCAGCTAACAAAGGAGTGAATTAGTTATGAGGGCGGTTGAATACTACTTCAAGGTCGTCTGATATCCAGTCCATATGAGTACAAAATGGACTCAAACACAACTAAACGGGCGAATCGACACATGAGGATCATATATATATATGACCCTCGTTTCCCAATAACGTTTTCTTAAAATCAATTATATCATGTATTTTGTCTTCTATTTATTTTAGTTCTTTATACATTTATTCATTATCCAATTTTATAGAGGAAGAAACACAAGGCGTAAATGATCGGTCCCCCACTACTACTGGAAATGTGAGGGCGGAAAATCTGAAATCTATGGTCTGAAGCGAATGGTACCGTGGTACCTGATTTTAAGCTGCATGATTCACTGGTATCTGACAGAAGCACGTGAGGATTTTGGGTGCCAGACTAACCGTATGACAGTTATGATAGTTCATTGTTTACATCATGAATCAGTTGATTAGCATGGATATCCATAAAAATAAAACTGAAATCTCGAATTGACAATTGACAGTCACTAAACAGGCATCACGTTTTCAGTAACTATTTCCTATTTGGAGGGAGGATACAGGTAAATATTACCTTTCTCTTTAATATACTTTAGTTACCATTATGTGATGTGTGTGCTAAAAACTTTGAATTGTTTGTAGTTAGATATATTTTGCCTTTATGATAATTTGTCCTCTGACAAAGTTGGGTTTGGTTTGAACTTGACAATTCATAGGAGAAATTTTCGATATTGTTTTGCTCAATAATTGTTTTATGAAATTACCCGTTTTTGCCTTTGGGAATCTGTGCGAAGCTAGTTTCATGCGAATTAAGTATTTATTCCGTATGAATATCAGTATAACAGTGCATGTTACTAAAGACGAATCCCAAAATAATAGGAGGGAGCCCCTCCCCTTAGCAGGGGTTTGTTGGTGTATATGTGTATCTCGTCCCTCTTTCTTGGTAACAGCACTATTACACAATAACATGCGCTTATTTATTTATTTATTTTTTGCTTGTTTAAAACTGATAATTGTTTACCAAAAATGGACTTAATCTTGATTAAAAAGATAGTCTTTACTTTTTTATTGACAGAATGATGATTTTGGCGTGGTTTGCTGTAGCAGTTGCTTTGAATACCGCGGTGTTGGCCAGCGGCAGACGAGTTAGGAGAGGCATTCGTCAAGAATATATTGTCGTATTAAACACCAATAGTCTTACTAACCCTTTGCAAGTCTTGGACAGAATGAAAGCTCTCGTGCTCAACGATTCTGTGGATTACAAAATTCGCCATACTTATTTTATTGGTGAGAACAATTTTGCTGGTTTTTCCTTTGGAACCTCAGACGAGTACGTAGTAAGGCAGTTACGCAGCCGACCCGAAGTCCAGTTCGTAGAGCCAAACAACTGGATGGTGCTTTGCACATTGTGCGAGGCTGAGAACACAAAACAGAAGGGCAGAGATTTGTGGGGCCTATCACGAATAAATAATCGCAAAAGGTGTTCAAACGACGTCACCTATGCATACGAAAGAGACGCTGGCAAGGGCGTTTACGTTTACGTCGTCGATACTGGCATTGATGTGTCAAACCCGGAGTTTGGTGGGAGAGCAATATGGGGAGCCGACGTTTCGTACGAATCGCTTAACAGAGAAAAAGATCTTAATGGTCACGGTACCCGTTCCGCCAGCATCATTGGGTCCAAAACATTCGGAGTTGCCAAATATGCCACATTAGTAGCCGTCAAAGTAGGGGACGCTAATGACAACTTACGCTTTGTGAAAAACGACGACGTTTTAGCTGGTCTGGCGTGGGTATCAGAACACCACAAAAACCGCTCTGCTGGCACCAACTCGTCTGTCAAATCTGTCATCAATCTTGGCGCGACACTTGCAAAACACTCCGCATCGCTGGAAAGCGCTGTTAAAGCCATAGTGGACTTAAATATCCCTGTGGTAGTTGCTGTCGGGAACGAGTTTGGCGACGCAAGTCATCACTCTCCGTCAAGGAATAACACCATAAGAGTTGGGGCAACGGACAGAAAAGACGCGCTGTGGTACATGTCTCATAACGTCGGATCAAATTTTGGCAGCGCCGTCGATATTCTTGCACCCGGAGAGAACATTTGGGCCATGGGTCTCAATGGTCCCGATCTTAAAAACGGCACATCGAACAGTGCGGCTTTCGTAAGTGGTGTAATCGCGAGCTATCTGACGAATATGACCCAAGAAATGCATCCCTCCAAAATAAAGGAGTGGCTGCTTTCTTCTGCGACTCATGGCATGATTAACATCAGGGACAAAGAAGGAACGGCAAATAAGTTACTTTATATGTATTGTAATGGACCAATCGTTAATACGGTGTCGCCGGGAAATTAAACGACAGCTTCAACAAAAACCGTCACTACGTCACTATGGCACCAACTACTCCTAGTAGGAGCGATAGCAATAGTGTAATCTTATCTTTCCTTTGTTGTCTCGTTATACTGAATGTGAGATAGTGGGCTGATTTCATTTTTTCACGTGAACAGTACATCGCGATGATTGCTTGTGAACAATAAATATATTGTCATACCTGTTCTAATCAACAATGACTGATTAATACCAACCACGACCGATGAACCCAGACATTGTGGTGTGGTTAATGTCACATAGTTATATGGCGTTTAATATATAAATTATCACTTAAAAGTGACAATTTTCAGTCTTTTAAGCCGAATCTTGTATTGTCAGATTAAAGACAAACAGCGTGTATTAGACTTTTGTGCACCATAAAAAAGAACAAAGGAATGGAATCTTCACATTTCCCCATTATCACTATGGTACACCCTGTACAAAAACACTAAAAATAAATCTATAGAATCATTTTTGAGGTCTTCATTGCCAGCTTCATCTCCAGCAAAGGTCCTGGAGTCTCGTAAAGTCTCACAAGTTACTCATGAATAAAGAAATGTAACCGAGACCCGGGTGTTGCTATAAGCTTTAAGAAGTAAACGTGGGAGAATCTGGGTAGAAAGAGGAAGTTGGCGGGCACCACCGCTTTAAATGTCCAGAGAATAGCTATGTTAGCACTCAAACAGTGTTCTAGCTATGGAAGTGAAGTGGGGCATTTGAAAAAAGCTAAGTAAAGGTTTGCAAGTTAAGTACATGTACCAGAAGTGAGAATCAATACATGTATTATAAAAAAACGCCATATTTCTTTTATGGAAAGTTATTTTATCCACAATTGCACTGTGTTTACTCATAGTGCTCTCGCTTTTAATTATCATAAACTACGCTATCTGTGACTTGGCCTTAATTGATAGTTACCTTGAGTCAACCCTGTACATACATAGTAAAAGCAAGTTAGCACTTCAGTCATTTCCAGAACTAACCAACATTGAACCGAGTTTCCTATAAACTAAGATGTATTGTTTACACTGTAATATAGTTTAAGCATAAGTTTGAAAAAACGATCTCTATTAATTGTGTTAAATTTTAATATTTCATTTTTACTTAAAAGAGTTCTTAAGTAAACGCATCTTTTCAACCCATGAAGGTACAGTATAACCTTGTACGATTGATATAAGTTAACTAATTGTGCTAAGTGTTATTAAAATTCACTGAAATAAAATATATGGGAATGATCAACGTAAAGTCTACATATCCTAGAAAATTACACTTCAAATACCTTTGTGACAGAACAGTATTATCGTATTCCAGAAAACATACAATCATTAACAACGTAACATTAGGTTACATATGGGAATTGTTCATTTTCTGTTGCGTTTGTGCAAAATCCGGTGCAGTTATTTTTGTATTTCTTTTTTGCCTCAGAACTTAATTTTTATATACACTGTATACAACCAAAATAATGTAGTGTATATATAGTTGTACAACGTCATGCTCTTTTGGGATTTCAATGAACTGCACTAAATATTGAAGCTATATGATAGCGAGATGTGAGACATGATACTGTTTTTTTTCTGAAATATTTTTCAGTATCAATGTGTATAAAATTAACCAGAAAGCTGGTTTGCGTTAAAGATATGCTGGAGCTACATTGTATGCGCTGCTCAACCTTTTACTAATGCTGAAATAAAAACAACTACAGTTTATATTTTACTTTGTTATTGTTGTGGATCCATAGATACTAGTAGAGGAAATAAAGTATACACATCCAAAGCAATTCCGAATGTAAATCTCAGCACATTGTAAAACAAAAAAAATCTATTCACTTCTTCATTGAAAAAGCAATATCTGATTCACTCACGGGCTAATAGAGTTTTAAAATTTAGCCGACATTGGTTCCTCATAATCACAAAACCCAGGATTACTGGCCGCGGCTTGCTTACGGTTCTGTACTTCCCATTCCAAAAAAACCCTCTGTAGTGTCTATATATAGTGTATACAGTATGTTCCAGCATCAATGTAGCAAAGGCCACGTTGAGGGTCAGCCACGATTTGGTCGAGAGTGAAACCAGTATGGGATCAGGAGGAATTGCTTTTAAATTTGATTCGTGGATCTGTTAGTCGGCGGGGTGAACTCGTTCTGAAAGCACCCAATGCGACCATAGACCACATGACTTTTCAGTAAGCAACAACGACCATTTTGATTCGCTGAGATGGTTTCCTTGGGGTCATATACCCCGTCAAAAGGACAAACAAGATAGTATGGCGGTACTTTCACCCAGCCCACCATCAGCAGAACCAGGAGAGTCCTCATCTTGTCAGCTCTTGAACGTTCTGATACTGATTTTGGACCACGCGCAGGCATGTTATATACACATGTACATACCGCCCTGGAGCGCCACCCCTAGCTACGCAGTTACCTCTTGTATGGCAGACCGATGGTTCTGATGATGATGCCCCTTGTGACATATTTGTTCGTATATACTCATAGAGTAACCATTTTTAAATTTAAAATGAATCGGATAGATTGAAGAATGAATTAAATTAAGAAATATCCAAAATAAATGACATCAAGTCTTCATTTGCAATTGTTGGGGTTATGCAGTGATGCTTTTCATTTTATATTTCGGGAGTACAGTGCGGCGACAATTTGGCATAATGCATCAGTACTGAAATCTTCGAATATCAAAAGCATTAATTTTTTTGATAAAAGGTCTGTTGACTACATACGAGCAACATATTCCCTCCGTTACCGCCAGAGTATCGCACCCTGTGCGTGGGATAAGCTTTAGTTTGGCCCTTTGAAATAACCACAGAAGTCAACGTGTCATATTCTGTGGTGCAGAACCTTTGAAGAAAAGAAATGCAATCTTATACGCATTCACTGTATGCAAAATGGTATCAGGATACCGCCCCATACTTCCTACTGAAAATGTAAAAACTGCCATGGCAATCTCCTTGCCCTCTTAGCTGGGGTGTTTCTGTGTACTCTCCCTGTTTGATAAGACTAGGGAAAGTTGGATACAGTACAAGACACTAATGGAAATATTTACATAAAATCCGTATGTTCTACAGTGCCACGTCTACTGATAGGAGGATGCCGACTTATGAAACTTGTAAACGCTCACGAGGATTTCTCGCACAAAACAGCACACACGCACACACATGCAAACATCAGAGGCTTTCAGACAGATGGGTTTTATTTTGTCAGGTTTGCCCTCAAATCAGTTACAATCAGAAAAGGGGAACTTAAAACTTTTGCAAAATAATTGTCCGTTGTTGCCGATCTCTTCAAATGTTAGCTTGGGGTAAAAATGGGCACCCAGGACAGTCACAACACAGCTGTAGTGTAGTTTGGTTTCCACTATATTATGTTACAGACAAACTAAAGTGAATCTCTGGGTCGAATCAGTGACACGCACATTTTATTTGTACACCTGTTTAATATCACTCGTTAATAACTGCTGATTTCTATCTGCATTGGAAGGTGTAACAACAAAAACAATGAAGCAATTGAGAATTCATAGTACAAAAAAAAAAAAAAAAAAAAAAAAAAAAAAAATTAACGTCAGTGACGCGAAGCAGAAAGTCACATTTTTGTGGAATGACCCATATCTCACATTTTTGTCACCATTATAACAATAGTGCATCACGGAAGATCATGCAAGGTATTTGAACTCAGCTGCTTCTTAAATGGTCACATTTTTCAAAGGGGCATCCCCTTGGCGTCTTCCGGGATGACTTCACCAATCAGCGAAAACCCTTTACAAGGTTAAAAAAACACAAACGGACTCCCTTGTGACAGAATATGCTGCACTGCATCTGTTTAACGCTCAGATGCTTTCCTTTGAACATAGTTGCAATCGGAAACCCAATACTTTATAAAAGTTGTCTAAATATAGGGTGAGGACACGACCGAAGCATTTTTGTTATTGAATTCGGTCCCATGATATTTACGTAAAGCCAGTATTGAACTTACATTGAAAAGAAACGCCGTGTATTAAACCCCAGTGCATGGGTTAACCGATCGACAGTCTGCAGTTAAATTTTGTCTTCACAAGGACAACTTGCAGCTAAATATGCTATCGCACAATTACTTTTGCCTTTTGATATTTTTATTTTGTTGCATAGCATTTGGAGTGTCGTGTAGGTTCATATTTTGAAACGAAATTTATTCTAATTCAGTAAATATAACATAGCAATCTGATTCACTTTATTTCTTGTAGACGTCGTTTTCAGTTTTTAGTGCATTTTATTACAGTTGACCCATGCGATAGCAAAAATCATGTTGTTCGGAGAGATGAAATATGGAGGAGTGCGGGGAATGTAAGACAAGCTGGGGAGAGGAGTTATTGCGATCGCTATCTGCACACTGATTGGTATCGTTTTATCAGTCCTGCAGGGAACGACATGCCTACGCACTGCGTCGAAGCCAACCACTGTGGTACAGTTTGGCCAATCTGGTTTAATGGTATGTACCATAAGATTCTACTACATTTTAGCCCTGTTTGCCTCTTTGATTACATTTAAAAATTGCACAAGTCCTCCACCAATATTGGTCCCGTCTCCAGTTCACAACTTTCACTTGATTACTACGGTACTCAGATTATAATTACTTTGTTATTTAGATTAATGCCTGCCCTTTCATTTTGAAAAAGGTACCATAAAACATAATAAATTACAAAGATTATTACTTTTTCAATGGGGATGAGTAATGTTCCCTTAAAATTTGTCTAAAATTTGTTGCAAATATTGGACTACTACAACTGCTACTATTACGACTACTGCTGCTGCTGCTACTTCTTCTTCTTCTTCTACTACTACCCATAGTCAAGCGTCCAAATATTCAGGTGTACTATGTTGGATTTTGTCAGTCTCCACTTTTGTTGCTAATCCGGAGTTTTTGTTGCCTTATCAGAAGCCATATTTATCCAACATGCACTAATCTACTATTAAAGAGTAAAATGGTCAGATAAGAAAAATGTCAG